CTTGGGTTCCTTGTCAATGGGAGTGGCTTCTTTGCATGCCTGCTGCACTGTTGGCAGTGCCCAGTGTATCCTCCAGGGATCCCAGGGCGAGTGTGCTGGAGCCCTGGCCTGACTGGTCCCCCACAGGTTTTACTTGCAATGGCTTTACCCTGTGTCCCAGCTCCTCCTCCCCTGCCTTCCCCAGGTTTCAGGCTTAGCCTCCGACAAGCAGGTAGGTGGAACTCTGGGACTCTGCTGTGAGAATGCACTCTACCTGCAAGCTTTGAAGCCTGGGGAGCCGACTTCAAGTCAGGACCAGCCTCTCTAGCCCTGGGGGAAGGAGCCTTCCAGAGAGAGAAGGCTGGGAGGGAGCTGGAGACCTGTGGGTGCGTCTTTGTCACAGGATGTCTGCGCATCCTGGGTGCTGGCCAAGTTGTAGCCACCAGGCCAGGCAACAGGGACTCTGATTCCCCGTGGTAAGATGAGGCTATCTCAGTAATCCTGAGTAGAACTTTGGCCATCTTGTTTCTGCTGAGAATAGACACCTTAGGCCCCACCCCTTTCTGCTGCTGAACCTGAATGTGCCACTTAACTAGATGTACCCCTCATTCCTGCCCCATGGATCATGGGCAGGTTAAAGCTTGCCTGGCACTCGGGGAGGCCAGGACTCATGGAAGCCATGCAGAATGGGGTCAAGAAGCAGGCCCACTGTTTCTCATGATGCTTCCAAGATCTGTGATGTTAGCTTCCTTCCAGCTGGGCAGGACCAGCACAAAAGAAACATGGAGGGCCCCTGTGAAAACAATCAAGAATCCTGAGATGATGACAATGGAGCTGGGGCCTTCTGGGAGTTGGGTCGGGGAGGGCCTTGTGGGACTGTACAGGCACTGCGGCCTTGAACTTGACAATGGAAGGAAACAGAACATTTGGACAATGCATGTTAGCCTAGGTTCCTGGTGAGAGTTCTGGTTTATTCAGTGTCAACCATTGTAATGAAAAGGCTCCAAATCCCTTATCCTTTGTGCAGTTTATTTTTGCTCCATATGCAAATATAAATGGCTTCAAATGGCTGTTATTCCAGTGTCATTCATTCTTGCAAAAATACAAATAAGAATGTGTCAGTCCAGACCCGGATAGAAGCTGTTGCCAGGGGAAAACCCTGAAGCTCATTTATTTCTAGGTACAGACTTTGACAGGTGGCACTGCAGTACTGACCCCTAGGTTTCTCAGGAACGGTCAGTTCACAGGTACTCCAGATTCACAATAGGAATAAACAGGCCAGTATTTAGGAACCAATCGGATCCATTCAGTGCAAGTTCACGACAGCTTTATTCAACGAAGCATCTCAGAGCACAGAGCACTCACAGTGCAAGAGGTCACAGTCATAGAGAAAATAAATAGTAAGATAAATGTTGACTATTTACACCTTGCCAGCTCCTGGTTCCTGCTCTGCCATCAGGAGAATGCACGTAGAGGATGGGGGTTGAGGGGCAGTGAGCCCACCAGACCAGGAGTGACATGTGGGGACAGCCCTGGGCATCCAGGCTTAGGCTGCTTCTAAGGAGGTTCTGTCTGCCTGCTCCCTGTAAGGTCAGAGGTGGGATCTGAGGAAACCACACCCAGCCTGGCCTCCCCTCTTTCCCCTGCGCCAGCACCAGCCTCTGTCCCAGGCCCCTCTGGCCTCTCAGCCTGCTCGCCTCTCTACAGAGTCAAAGCTCTCTTTGTTCACACTCCAGCTACGATGCCTGGCAGGCAAGTTCTGGACAGCAGACACACACAGAGGTTGCCCTGTCTGGGGAGGGGTCCGGGCTCCATGCTGGAGTCTTAGCCTCATGGAGCAGCAGCTCCCACCCTCGGTAGGAGATGAGGGAGGGGGCTCCCTGAGGGCTGGCTCAGTCAACGCTCTGTCATCTGGGTTCCCAAAAGGCCCCTGGTGCCAGCCATGTGGAGGCAGCTTGAGGAAGGAATCGGCATGGGCTAAGCTCAGATGGGCAAGGAAGAAAGCCAAGCAGGGAAGCCAATGCTAAGGGCAAAGCTCTCAGAAAAGTCTGGAAAAGCCACACTGCCCTACTCACTTCCCATTCATTTTCAAAGAGAAACAAAGGTCTCACTGCTCCCATTCAAAGCAGACTGAAAGTCTTTCTGGGATGGACTTAGCAATTCTGGCAGGGCAATGAGGCCAACTCTGTTGTCTGGGACTATCTATTAAGGTGCAAACCTGACCACACCTGGCCATGCCTGTAGGAACCAAAAGCCACACACTGCCTCTCTTGATTGCTTAGGAGTTTATTTTCTGGTGGAGAGGATGCACACTTGGCCAGGATGAAGGGTTTTATTGGCCTCGTAAACGGGCAAGTCCCACTCCACACCCCCCTTCCAGCCCCAGCACATGAGCAACAGCTGGGTAAATTCCGGCAGCAGTGTGGGAAGAGGCACAGAGAGCACCCGTTCTTGTCACTGGGCTTTTAACCCAGGAGCAGCAAATCCCAGACTTGAAAACTGAACAAATAGGAAAGCCACACAACCAAGGGCTTGACTTTCACATAGACATGGGGTGTGTTCAACTCGGAGACGCTGCTGGGAACCCCATGCCTGAACTAAGTGTGATAAAGATACAAAACTTGGATAACCGGATGAAGACACTGTGGGAAGGGGTCAGCAGGAAGAAGATGCCAGGCAGCCTGTGGCTGTAGGTGTTGGGGGGGACGTGGCAGACACACAGAACCTGGGAGACACCTGTCCCTGGAGTTAGAAACTTCCAATCCCCATTGGATAACCAAAGCTGGGATGAAGACCACTCAGCTGGCTTCCCTCGGGAGGGCACATGGGAGCAAAGGGCCACTCCTCCCAAGGGCCTGTTATCTGGAGCGGGGCCCTGTTCCACCAGCTGCCTGGTTTACAGTGAAATGCAAAGCAAGCATTGCAGTGTGGTTTCTCTGAGGACAAGCAACTGCATCATTCTAAATCCAAGCACCTTTACCATAAACCCTGGAGCTGCTACAGACAGTGTCCTCTGGGGCACGGGTCTCTCCAACAAGGCGAGGGGCTCTCCAGCCAGGATGGTGAGAGCAGCAAAATCCATGAGAAGACCACCAAACTCTTGTTTGCATGTAACAGACGTTGTAGGGAAGCTCTGCCAAAAACACGTGGTGGGGCCCCTTCCCAGGCTTTCAGAAGACCCCAGTGAGGCTGTCCTGTAAGGGGCTCCTGGACAGAGCTGCAGAGACTAGAAAATCCGGTCAGTAAGGACTCTTACCCAATGAGTAGGGGGCAAGGGACAGGGGTGGGTCTATGTAGACACAGGGTGGGTAGGTGGGGGTTCTGGGACCAGGGTGGCTGCGGCATGAGGGACTCCCTCCTCCTCTGCCTAGAACAACCTGGAGAGCACTTTCAGGAAATCTCTAGAAGTTTCTGTGGGCATGATGTGGCATCCAAGCTACCTAGACATGGACCATCACAAGGGCCTTAGAATGATCCGCTGACCTGCGCTCAGGGAGGGTGGCCCCTGTGGAGATCAGGTATGGTGGGTGGGCATATCTCCCAACAGCCGCAAGCCTCACAGGTATGTTCTATGTGCACCTGCTGAGAGCCCGTCACAGCCACATCATAGCCTTCTTCTTCAGCCAGGGAGGAGCATGACCCGGGGGAAAGGGGCAAAGAGAAGAGTTTGCCCCTCACCCCACTCAGTGTTACAACATGACTGCTGCTAATTGGGGGAAATTCTGGGAAAAGGGAAGGGCAGGGAAAGCAGTTTGAGCCACTAGCACTGGGATTCTCTGCTTTTTCCCCAGCAAGGATGCACTGATCCTGCCTGGGTCCACCCCCACCTTGAGAAGAGGCCTAGCAAGCAGGGAAGAGAAATGCCTGTAAGAAAGGCAGGTGTCTGGCAAGACAGCCATGCACCTGCTTTCCAAGTTCCCGACCTGTAGAGGGAGGCCACTGTTTTCTCAGTGTCGGATTCCTGCTGCTGCCACAGGTCTTGTCAATCCTCATGAACGGAAGCCAGGACCCTGCCCCTCCCCACCCTCCCACCCGGAGGGTCTTTCATCAGTGTTTGCAGGCTGCCTGTGAGTGACATGCACAGCCCATCTGGCTTAACCTGGCTTGGGAAGGCTCCTGTCTACCACTGGGATCTGGACAGGCTGGGAACTGACAGAGGCCAAGACAAGAAACAGCCCACGCAGGTGAGAACTAGTGAGCAGGTGCAAATTCACAAGGGCGGCCAGGTCCGTGTAGAAGGAGGACACGCAGGGAACAAGGGAGCCTGCAGACTGGGTGACAGGAGCGGGCGCAGGGCAGGGTACATGGTGCCCATGGGCCTTCACTGCTAGTCTATCACTATGCTATCCTAGAACTCTCCCTCTAGGCTCAGAGTCTCCAGCTACCACCTTACACCTGAGCAGTGCCTGCCCAGGTAAGGACAAGTCAGAGAACAGCAGGGACCACCTGTTCCTCTTTACAGAGACATTTTCTGAGTGCAATGGCTTGTTTTTCTGTTGTGCCCTCAATAGGAAGAGCCAAATGTACTTTTTAATTGCTTGCTTTTGTAGCAATTACCCCATGCTAATTAGCTTTGGGAATAAAATCAAAGAAGAAATTCTAGGTAGTGAGGAAAGTATACTTTTTTTGATGAAGGCCTAATTAACCAAGCAATCCTTTAAACGGGTAATGGAAAAATATTTAGTTAAGAGACTTATTCACCTATAGTGTACATATAGTTTTCTAGATACAAGAAATGCATAGATCCTTTTAAGGGAGTTACATTGGCACATCAAAGACAAAAGAAAATTAGCCAGCAGGAGCATACTACATATTAAAAATGTAACTTTGTAAGTCTCTAATTGCAACTGCCATATACTTTGTAATTGCAAATGCATTCTGCAGAAGAGGAGGAGGCTAATTCAAGAGCTCTGCAAAGGCTACACAAGCATTCAGAGAGCTAGAGCTAAAGCCCGCAGGGACACCACCGCGGGGCACATGGCTGAACATAGGGCTTTGCCGAGAGACAATAGGAACATCAGACATGGACAGATGTTAGGGTATGTCCTGGGGAGCCCAGGAGCCAATCAAGTGTTTTCTGAGGTTTGGGGGCCAGACAATAACCAACCAACCCACAGGACCAAGTTTCACCCACACCTGCTGCCTGGACACAACCAGCCCCACAGCCATGGCCGGAGGACAGCTGCCGGGCCATTGTGCTAGAACCACTGGATCTCTCTCAGAAATCTCCTACTCAAGGGAAGGAGTGAAGCCTGCTGACATCACCAGGCAGCTGGGAGAATCAGATGGTGACAGAATCACTTTGCTGCAGACCAGGATGGGTCTGGGAGCTGGTGGTTAGGGCAGGGTACCCAGGGAGAACTTGGAGCTATGAGAGCCCAGAGTGACCTCCTCTGGGGACCCTGGTGCCTCTTGCAGTTGAAGTTTATGTTGATAAACTTGACAGCTCCTTGCCCTCCCACTTAGCCACTTTGTTAGGAAAATCATGCTTGTCCTCAACATGAAGACCTTGCTATCCAAGAACCAGGGACAACAAACAAACAAAAAACAAGAGAAGCCTCAACGCGGTATAGTTACTAATACTGATGTGAATCCCCAAAACAGGCCTGGCGAGGGCCCATCCTAGGCTCAGGCTAAGGGGACCTTGGGGGCTATAAGCTTGCCCACTTCCCTCTTTGGAAACTCAGGACGCCTTAGAGGACATAGGCCACTCACCACAATGTGGCTCAAGGTCTTGTGTCTCCAGAAGGGATCAGCTACTCCTTTTGGACTCATCACCAGCTCCCTCCTCCCATCAGCACGGGCGCTTCCTGAATGCTGCTGTGTGCAAAATATCTCAAAGTGCATCAAATCTGATAGACTCTCGCAATAGAAATGGTACAAAAATAAAATAAGACCTCTCTATAAAATTAATTTGTGCTTTCTTCTCATAAATCATTTGCATTCATACACCTCTGACATGCCTAGTTTTAGATCCACAAAGCAATGGGTGACTGTCTCACTTCTTGCTACTTTCTCCATCAACCTCCTCCCATCCTTGGCTGTTCACATAGAGCAAACTGCAAGGTGCAACAAACTTAGCTTCAAAAATCCTAAGGTACAGTTTTCATACTTGCCTTGAGCTCACCAGAGAGCAATTCATCATTTTCCAGGAATGCCTCTTTGGGCATTCAGACATATTGGCTCTTTCAACCAGGGGATGTTTCACAGGTCAAGCATTCACAAAGAAAGGACAAACCCATGACTGGTGCATTGGGTGGCACAGAAAGGTCCGCCAGTTTCTGCTGAATGTCTGACTTAGCACCCAATTCAAGGTTCCTCTGTCACCCTCTTCTAGATCCTGAGCCAGATGTCTCAGTGAGATGAGACACAGCACTTCTGCGAGCATTACCATTTTGGTCACCATCGTGCTCCTTTTATATGGAATAACATTTTTCAAGTATGACGATCTAGATGATGTTTTTATTGATAATATTTCATTATTCATGTTCTCAATGTGTCAAAGTAATAAGAATATGCATTCGTAGTCTCTTTTCTGCAGTGAGAAGCTGCTTCCTCTCTTCCAGCTTTTCCAGGACAAGGGACGGAATGTCTGCCAACACGGTTGCAAAGCCGCCCCTTATTTAGAGGTGGAAGCCCTGCCCGACGCAGTTGAGTGCTCCCAGAAGTTGGAGGCTCTTAGTAGCACGTATTGCCCAAGGAACTCACCCCTCAGACCCAGAGGTGACATTTGGGGACCACATGCTCATTTTGCATCTGCCCCAGGAGACCTCATGCTCACCAACTGTCTCGTTTCCAAGGCTGCCCATGAAACTGAAAGATAAATTGCCCGCATTACAAGTCCTTTTGATGACAGCGTGTAGGAAAGAGCAGGGGCACCTGACGCCATCCTGTAGCTGGTAGCTTAGGGGTCTTCAGAGACCCTCAAATAACAGCCCCCAAATCCTGTGTTCCGGGGGCCTAACTCCAAGCAGGAGGACAGCTGGCAGCCACAAAGACCCCCGATGGTTCTTCCTCCCTGTGTGTGAAAGAACAGACGGCAGCCGCCGCTACAGGAGAGACCTGTGGTGGGGGAGAAGGAGAGCGAGGAGGACGCTGGTGCCACGGGGTGACCAGGATAGCTCCCGGAGGCAGTGGCTCAGCTTTAGTCGTCTTCTCGGCACATGGGCAAGTTGACAAAGGTGAAGACATTAAACTCTATCATTATGGAGAAGCACAGGAAGACAGCATAGAGAACCAGCACATAGATTCCCAGCTTCCGGTCCAGCCGCCATTTATTCAGGTGGATGCCGAGGACCTGGAAGGAGACAGTGAGAGAGCTGGACCATGGCACACAAGAAGTGTTCTCATTGGACAGTGACTCTCAGTGCTGAAGCCAGAATGTTCTGGACATGGCAGATGAGAGAAAGGAAGGCATGCTGCCAGTTGCACCCTGGGTTTGAGCACACCCAGCCCTGCTCAATAACTGGACAAGCCTGTGGCCCAGCCCTGCTGACTCCAGGGACTGTCCCTCCCCATGCAAGCATGCCAACTGCTCCAGGCACAGGGTCCCTTCTGAACTAGTGTCAGGCCCCAAGTTCTTGCCCACCCAAGCCTTCTTTAGGGACAGCGTGGGGATGTGGCCAGATGCTCAGAGCCGGCCACTTGTCCTCAGTGAACTTCCCAGGGTTCTGAAGGACCTATCCTGTGTAACCTTGTTCCTGGCCCTCACTGTCCCACGCACATGCCTGACACCATTCTGCCTTCTTCTTCACCTGCTGCCTTGTCTCTGAGTTTAGGTGCAGGGACAGAGCACAGGCACCTCGGTGGAACCCAGGAGGTGACAAATCCTGGCCTGGGCTTAGACCTGGGTTTAGCCTGTGATGCACATGGATGACTTAAGTCCTTAGCCACAGTTTCTTCTGGAACATGGGAGCTTATCACCACACTCCCCTTGGCAGTAGCTGTGAGGCTCACCCAACCAGGCAGGGTGGCTTTGAGTACCGTTAGAGGGCGCCCTGGGACCTGCCCTGCCTGTCTTTGGTCAGATCAGGGTATTGGCATGGAAGGGGATGGATTTTTCCCCTCCTGGGTCTGGACACTGGAGTGACACATGAGGGTGCAGACGGGTGTGGGGAAGGAAATGCTATTTGAAAAGGCACAGTAGTGGATGCCCACACTCTGGGGCGGGGGTGAATATTAAATTTCCTGGGGGCATGTCCCTCACTGCAGGGGTGGGGTGGGCAAAGCAGAATCCATATGGAAGGGAGTGCACACGAGGTTCCTGCCCAGGAACCAAAGGAACTCACGGTCAGCGCCACGGAGCCCAGCAGCAGCACCACGGAGTAGACCAGACCCCGACTATTGATCTTCACCTGGAAAATCAAATATCCCACGCTGAGTTGCTCCGCTGCTCAGGCCAATGCGTTCTGGACACCTGGCTTTCTCTGGTCCACTCATTCTCTTCTCTTGAGGGGAGAACCTGTGCTACTGGTGCTGTGGTGTAGTGAGTAAAGCTGCCACCTGCAGTGCTGTATTCCATACAGGTACTGGTTCGAGTCCTGGCTGCTCTACTTCTGATCCAGCTTCTTGCTTATAGCCAGGGATGGCCTGAGCGTTTTGGATCTTATGCCATGTGGGAGACCCAAAAGAAGCTCTTGGCTCCCAGCTTCAGATCAGCCCAGCTCTGGCCATTGTGACCATTTTGGGGAGTGAACCAATAAATGGAAGATCTCTCTGCCTCTCTCTGTCTCTCCCCTACTCTCTGTAATTTTGTATTTCAAATAAATAAGACATTCTTAAAAAAAAAAAAAAAAACGAGAACCTGGGGTCCAAGTGTGAGCAGGGAAATGTGGATTCAGGTCTCAGCTCTGAGGGTTGTGGATGTGGCTGGGCCCAAGTGTATGCTGGGGGCTGATGCAGGAGGACAAAGCTCTGATTAGCTCAGCAAGTAAGAGCTCTCCCTGCAGGCATCCTTGGCTACTCCAGGGAGGTGGCTGGGTACCATGGAGCCACAGCAGGTGGCACAGGCAGGTGGGATGGGCCCAGGCCACCACCCTCTGGATACAGGTTCCAGGAAGAGAAGCACTTACCGTGGACCCATAGTTAATGACCATGGTCTGCAGGCCCCATGGGATGCCAAGACCCACTAGAATGTCAAACACATTGCTTCCGATGGTGTTGGAGACAGCCATGTCACCGAGGCCTGTGGGTACAGAGACAAGGGGCTTCCACCAAGAACCGGTTGCTGAGATCTGTGCTCTGTCAACCTTGACCTGTTAGAGCCAACCCCAAGACAGGGGTTCCTTTTTCATCACATACATAGATGTCTGAAATGAAGATTCTCTAACACAGCTGCTTATGGCCACTGCATGGTTCTAGCAGCCAGCAAGCTAGGCAGCAGCTGAGCTCAACATCCAGGCAGGCAGCCCAGCTCTGTCTGCTCCTGGCCACCTGCAGGCCAGGTCATGTCCTCCTCCCACCTGTGTGGCTGTCATCTGTTGACCTGTGGGACATGAGGCCTTTTTCTATCCTTCACACATGGGCTGACATCCATCCTCCTGCCTGCCTGGCCAGACCCGTCCTGTTCAGAGGGACTGATAGAATCTTGGCAGTTGAGATGCAGCAACTGCACCTCTGGGAAATTGGCCCTCCAGTCCCCCAGTCTGCAGGGAAGAGAGAGGGATGTGCAGTGACTTCTGTGTACCTGGTGGGGCTGTAGCAGCTGCCCCATCCTCCCGGGACTCTCAGGGCAGAGGGGATGAGAGCCAGTGGATGAGAGTGCCGTCTTGCTGTCTATCCATCCATTTCTGCCTCTTGAATGCATTTTTCAAAAGGGTGGCATCTGCTTCAGTGGGTCTGGGATAGGGCCTGAGAGCTGGCATGTCTCAGGCTCCTAGGTTGAGCTGTCACTGCCAGCCAGGCACCTAAAGAGGTGCCAAGATGTAGGACCTCTTTGTCAGGGACTGGTACAGCTTTGTACAGCAGGCTCAGAACAAGGTCTCAGTAGCCACCATCACATTAGCTGTCCAATCTGCAGGAGTCTGTGCCAGTCAGCCACGTGGTCACCATCTACCCCACCCACAGCCCCTCTTGTTCAGTTTCTGTGCACCTTCATTCTTCAGTGGCCACTCAGAGAGAGACAATGTCCTAAGAACCCCATGCTCCTGAAAGACATTCTTATGATCTGTCCTCACCCCAAGCCTGGGTTCCAGGGTCAGTTGTTCAAGCCATACCTTCTCTTGCTTCTGTGTCCTTCTACTCTGTCCACACAACTAGGGTTGCACTTGAGTTGGTGCATTGCTGGAGCTGGCACCACTGAATCCCTCCTAAGTTTACACTGTTGCACTTCAGCCAACCTTACTACACAGGGTTGGCAAGGGTCCTCCTTCCCCAGACACACATCCATCTGCAACCTGTGACTGTCATGTGTTTGGAAACAGGGTGTGGTAGATGTGCTCCAAGTAACACATGGTCTCAGTGAACTGGGGTGACCAGCACCCTTCCAGCAAGGATGACTGCACAGACACACAGAGGGAAGATGGTCCTGTGACAATGGTGGCAGACACCAGGGAAGGCACCAGCTGCCAGTCAAGGGGTGCTGAGAGCTGTTGGTCACCCTAGAAGGTAGATGAGGGCAAGGGAAGACCCCTTCCTCCAGAGCCCTGAGAGGAGCGGCCCCTGCTAGAGAAGAAGGGTCCGATTGTTGCAGCAGCCCCAGGAAACAAACAGGCCACCCACTGAACCTGCAGCTCCTTGCTGAACCTGCAGCTCCTCAGCCGCTCTTCCCAACTGCATCCATTCTGAGCAAGGCTTTTGCCCACCCTCCCCCGTCTCCCACACTTCCCTGGCCCAACCTGCCAACCGACCCCCCTGGGACTTCTATGTGACAGGAACAAAGCGGCCACTGCCTGCTTCCCCAGCCGACCTCTCTCTCTGGGCACAGTCCCCTGCCCTGTCTCCCCCGAGACTCCTTGCAGATATTCACAAATCCCCATCCCTGATTTCACTCTCGAATCTGCCAGTGAGATCCGTGGCCACCCATGCAGGTGGTTGCCTCTACGGAAAAAAAAAAAAAAAAAGAACCACGGAAAATTCAGGGTCGATTTTTACAGCACTTTTCTCTGCTTTCAAAAACCTTAACGTCACTCACTCTCTATCTTGCTCAACCCATGCCGCTATGTAAGCCCAAAGGGAGAAGTTCCAAGTGAAGCAAAGCATGATGCTCGTCTTACACATTGGATGAAGAATGAAAAAGGGTTGAACCTCCCTTGCTACGAGCTCATGGGCTAGGTGATGTCTGACTTGGGCCCTGATGAATCTCATGGGCACAGTGACCTCAGGTAGATGGGCTTCAACTTGGAGCACACATATTCTTCCCATAAGATGGAATTTCACCAGCAGTGCTTTCTGGATGTCACATTTCTTCCCTGGCAGGATCTGACAGTCCTCAGCCCTAAGAGTCACCATGGAACCTGCTGGAAGGTGGCAGGTGTAATGAGACGGTCGTGAGGTGACACTGATGACTCTATGGGCCAAGGCACAATCCATACCTTGTCTGGCCACAATCAGGCTGGCCATGCAGTCTGGAACACTGGTCCCCGCAGCCAGGAAGGTGATGCCCATGATGACATCAGGGATTCCAAGTGTGTATCCAATAATAGTCACCTGCATGAAGGGAAGACACGGACACACAGTGCTTGGCCTGGAGACTGTGCTTACCCTAAGCACTTGCTTTTGTACTGATTTCTTTATTTTCATCTACTTGAAAGTGAGAGATGAGAAAGAGGTAGAGAGATGGGGATGATGGTGGTGACGGGTATCTTCTGCCTTGCTGGTCTACTCCCTAAAGAGCCAGGGTTGGTTCAGGCCAGAGCCAGGGACTCCATCCAGGTCTCCCACACGGGTTGTAGGCACTCAAGTCCTTGAATATTTACTACCTTTACAGTGCAGTAGCAGGACATTAAATTACAGGTGGATGGATCAGGACTCACAGTGGTATCCCAACACAGGATGAGCTTGTCCTAACTAGCAGCTTTGCCCTCTGTGCCACAAGGCCCACCTGCACCCCGAGTTTTTAACTTTCATGTGGTATTTCTGTAACTGAGAGAAAAAATACACCTATGCCTATGTGTGATGAACTTGGGAGTACTCCATTTCTTTCCTGACGACAGATGCTCACTGTTTCAAGAAGTTTAGAGAAGAAAATGAAATAGAATCCACGTGCCATTTCTCAGGGCCCCCAGAACTGACCCTTCACCACAGCTCTCAAAGTCAAGTGCACAGGAAACTCCCAGGAAGCATGAAGTACAGCTGCCAGAACCCGCCACATAGCCTGCATTCCAAGCAAGTCTTGGGCGTCTGGGCCCTGAGGCAGCTGCCACTCAGAACCACACTTGAAAGCCACTGACATTCCCCCTCTGTTGGGTGGGGGGGGTATTGGTGTTAGAGTGAAATCAGATTCTCAACTCTCTATTTCATAACTGCTCCATGTCCTAACATACAATAGACAACTCTCCAAACTGAAAATCTGCCCCCGCCCAGCGCCCCCGCCCCATTGGGCTAATGCTTATGTTTCGTTGCGTGGCCTGTGATGGTGTAGCCAATCCTTCACTATTGGATGGGTGGGCACCCCCTTCTTTTTTTGTTCTTATAACATCACTTTATGTGACAAGCAACATTTACTGTGTTCAGGCGCTCTCATGTGCCACATGTGTCACTCCCATCATCTTAGTTTTCACCCAGTGCTGAGGGCAGCATTGTCACGATGCCAGGCGAGGCTCAGCATAACCTCGGGCTAGGCAACGTCACCTGGGGCACACAGCGAGCAAGGAAGAGAGTAGAGGTTACAAGTCAAGGGCTCCAGCCTCTCCCTCATGTGGCCTGTGGGGACCTCCTGAACAGCTCATCTTACCACCTCCTTAGGATCAACGTCAGAGCCTGGAATCACTGGATGGAAGCATACACAGATCTGAGGGCTCCTGATGCTCACGACATTCCTTGGCCACCTGCTGGTGAATGTCTAACACTTGACAGACAGTCAGGACCCTGAATGACAGCCAGAGGCATCAGGACCACCCCATACAACCAGTGCCCAGCTTGGGCTGACACCCCTCAGGATTCACAGCTTGGCAAATGGTTCCAATCCCAGCGAAAGGCTGTGTGACCTTGGACATGCTGAGCCTCAGCTGCCACACCTGTAGAATGGGTTGTGCATGGAAGCAGACCTGTGGGATAGCCAGAGGCAAGGATGGACCCATGGTGCCTAATCCCCACAGGCCATGCTTCCCGCCAGCAAACCCACGTTGTGGCTGCAGGTTCTTAGTGGATGAGGGAGGCAGCCAGCACCAGTGCAGGAATTACCAGGATGGCTGCTGCTTGCCTTTGTTTGTAGACACTGAAACACATGGTGAAGGAGCTCCAGGACTAAGCAAGGGAAGGCAGGCAGGCCTTGTGGGTGCCTGCACACCTCCTTGAGCCTGGCTAAAACCCAGACACCAGCCCAGGGGCTGCTGAGTCCTGCCCCTGCCGTCAGCATGAACTCACAGACATCACAGCTCCTGGGTGGTCTTCCATCTCCTCAGGTAGAAAATGAACAAATCAATGTTCTGATAGTAACATTCCAGCAAGTTCTTCCCAAAGCCTGTGTGTGGGGGTGGAGGAGTGAATGATGTGAAAGGATTGGAAGGGGGCCGGGATGGGCAGCTGGGTCTGCAGCATCAGGGCCCAATCCCGTCCAACGTGAGGCACTTGGTGGCACACCAGGCTGGGCAGAAGTCAAGGCTAACAGGTGGCATTGTTAGCATTACCATTGAGTGCTGAACCTGAAGCGCTCGCATTATTCAGTGCAATTCTGGTTGAAGTCACAGTGTCGCGCTCCTAGGTCCAGGTGCAGGGAATGGGGTGAAGGAAGTGCTGTCTCACTGCTAATGAGTGGCACGGATTTAATAACCACAGTGTCATTTCCAGAATCCAAGGAAAAGAGCTTCACTCATCTGAGGGTCCTAACTCTCAAATTGTGCATGTAAGGAAACAGTCCTGAAGTTGTCACACTGTTTTGGGAACACATTTTTGTCGGACCAACTGCTGAATTCCTTTCCCTAAAAAGTAAAGGGCAGGGCGCCCTCCTTGCAAATTCAAGTCATTTAAGGTTGTCCTTGCATGCCAATACTTGCTGGAGAGTTTGGATAACGGCTATTTCTAGCTCTTCCTCCACATGAATACATGCACATGCCCATGATTGCATACCCACATGAGTGTATGCCCACATGCACACATGGCCGCCTAACACACAGGAACACACACACATACACACATCACATGTGCAGGCTGTGGGGACTTTGCTCTTCATTCTAGAAAGCTGAGCAGCAGTGTTGGCCATGACTAGCACCCACAGCTCTGGCCAATGGACCGTGCCTCAAGCTCACACCACAACGCCTAAGTAGAGATCAAGGTGCCACCGGGTATGGTGCACACCAGCGCTGTTCTGGCTTGAGCAGGGCCCTGTGGGAAATCTCTTCTGGCTCTGGGGCCCAAGTACATTCCACTCAGCAATGTCCCTGGTCACGGCGCTGTTAGCTGGGACACAGCCCTAACTGGCTGGCATGCAGTAAGGAATTCCTCGCTGGCTTTTCCACTGCCAAGCCAGACCTGTCTCAGGGTGGCAGTACAGTAGAGAAGTGTGAGGGTCAGAAGGGATGGCAAGTGAAGCCTGGGGCATGCAGATGTGCCAAGGTCCTCCTGTCTCCAATTTAGCTGACCCCAGGCCCGCTATGTGTGCCTGTCGCTGGGAGCACGCACCAGCCTGGTGGCTCAGAGGGGGCTGCCTTCCTGAGTCACAGGATGCACGTAACTCATTAAAATGTCACATTGGGCTCCCTCTTGAGGTTCCTTTGGGGACACAGAGCTCTCAAGGGACCCCAGGACATCAGAAGGAGATCAGCTAGGGGCTGCTGACCTGCAGACCCTCTGCCATAGGGACAGGGGAGGCTTTGTGTGAATGAAGATTACAGGTCACCCAGAATGGCTGGGGCAGGACCCTGCCCAGCTTGAGGGACCCCAACTGTCCACACTCTTCCTTGGGGTAGTAGGGATGGATGGCACCGGGCACAGGGAGTGATTTCAGGAAATCCCTGAGCCCCCAAGCCAAATGGTTCCCAGGCTCCACTCTGGGTCTGAGCAGTATTGACTTGGCTCACACACAGTTCTCTGGGGAGAAAGGAGTGGCGAGGGTGGATTGAGTGGGGAGCAAGCCAGGATGACCAGTGACTGGAGCATGTTCATCGTTCCCATTTCATGGGAACAGGTGTTTTGGCTCAGGGTTTTGGCTCAGGGTTTTGGCTCACCTGCCCATGTCTCATGCTCCCCAATGAGAGGACTGGGACATACCTCTGCCCTTGTATCCCTACTGCCTCCCTTCTCCCACAAAGATCCACTGTTCTCAGTTCTCAGGACTGAAGGGAAAGGGGTCCTGTGAGTGTGTGGGACTGCCCACCGCCTCGCTGCCTCCTCTGGCAGGCTTCAGGAGGAACAGAAAGTGACCCCTGCGAACCATGCAGATGAGAGGGGCTATACAAACTGTGGTGCCACATCCCTCCCCTCCCCTGCTCCTGGCTGTCTGCTCAGGAGGAGCAGAGGGTGTCAGGGGAGCCCTCCTAGTGATACACAGAGCCCGGGAAGGTGGCCTCCTGCATGGCCCAGTCAGCCTGGCCCAGCCCAGCCCAGTCCATAAAAGGTTTGTACAAGGAGCCGGTGTTGTGGCACAGCAGGTTAAAGCTATGAAACCTAACCGGCAACACAAATTAGAACCAGTTCAAATCCAGGTGGCTCCACTTCCAACCCATCTCCTTGCTAATTCACCTGGGAAAGCAATGGGAAACAGCGTGAGTGTCTGGGCCCCTGCCACCCATGCAGGAGACCTGGATGGAGTTCCAGCTTCTGGTTTGGGCCTGGCCCAACCCCAGGTGTTGTGAGTATTTGGGAGTGAACCAGTGGATAGAATTTCTTTCTCTCTTATTCTACCTTTCAGATAAGCAAACTTTTCAATTAACGGCAGGTAGCTGGCACTGCACAAAGCTTAGAAAGACCCATATCAATGCCTCTGCACGTGCAAAGCTTTCATCAGTGACACTGAAAGCCCCAGTGCCGCACACAGAGCTGTTCAGGACGGTGGCTGAGATCACCAGCTCAGAGGGCCAGTACCTGGGCTTCTCATCCCAGCTCCGGCACCCACTAACTGTATCACCTGGGGAAAATGACTCCATCTCTCTACATTCAATCGCTCCATCTGTAAAACAGGCATAGCATGACAGCTGATCTCATGGGGCTGTTGTAAGGATAAGAAGAGTTGATAGAATGCACTTAAGCCAACCCCGGCACAGGAGGAAGGGGATAGGAGAACTTCCTGGCATGGGGCACAAGGAGGGCACCCTGGCAGATCACTTACTTCCTGCAGTTCCCTGGGGACCCTGGAAGCGAAGGGGTTTGGTCATCAGCTGCCTCCACACACTGCTTCACATCCCAACCCTGCTCCCCGACCCCAGAGTGGTCGGTCTCAGCTCCCTCCTTTGTGCTTAATGGCAAAGTCTGCCATATCTGCCTTGGTGTCGTGGGCACACAGCACAGCCCTGTGCACTTTCCTTAAAACCCCTCTCTATGGGGAGTAAGCTGCCGCAGGTGAGGCCTGTGGCTTGCGCAGACTGGCACAGTGGTGTCTGCCCTTGCCCATGTGCCCTGCCCCCTCCTCGACCTGCCCAGCCGGCCCCAGCTCACCAGCCACACCATGAGGTAGGAGAACACGGCAATCCACAGCGTGGCCGTGATGAAGGTGACCATGAAGAGCTTCTCCCAGCGGGGCTTGCTGCAGTTGGGGATGGTGATGCACAGGAGGAAGATGAGGGGCCATGTGAACACCCACTTGGCCTTGTCCCCTCTGGCCTCTGTGGGGAGGGGGCAGAGAGAGATACACACACACACCGGGTTACTCACTTGCTGGACTACCCGTCACTTTATTTTTCAAACTAAATTAAAGACTGCCACTGATGTGACTCCCAGCAACTCACCCACAGAACCAGAGACTTCCAAAATGTCACCCTGGAAGCAGCAAGATAACTCAGTGTATGTTGGCTGAATACCTGCAGTCACTCCTAATCTTTCATTTGACTGGGTAAGGAAGGGGAGACCCAGAGCAGGAATGAACTCCACCCAGGGTTGCCTAGGGGGCACTGAGAAATACAGAGGGGTTTTAGAATCAAGCACCCGGGTTGCGCAAGCCCCTCAGCTCCAGGTCTCCCTCTGACAATAGCAGGTGCACTGTACAATAACAACGTAACAATAATCAACACAGTGCATATTTTCTATGCACAGCAGGCACAGTGCTAAGAGCTTTGCCTCTTAGGAGCCTCCTCATCTGGTACATGGGAACATTTTCTCTTTGTGGATTGTGGCAAGAATCATATTTTATGCTGTTAATAGAATATCCAGTTGATAGTAGGTGCTTGGGAAATCTCTGGCCACATGGTCAGTTCCCAGGTCACACAATCAGCTCAAGACAGGTACATGTACAATCTCTCTACCTGAGTGTTGAAGGAGTTCCCCAAACTTACACAGAACCCCCTGTCCAGATGGACTCCAGCCTGAGACTACTAGACCCAGGCATGTAAGGAAACCTGCCCAGTCACATGGATGGTCAACAAGCACAGACCTCATGGAGTCAGTTTAGAAAAAGTCACCGAAAAACCAATAAAATTAATAAAAAGCCACAGTGGGGGCGTGTGCTGTGGCATAGCAGGAAAAGCCACTGCCTGTGGCACTGGCATTCCATTTGAGTACCAGTTTGTGCCCCTGCTGCTAATGGCCTGGGAAAATCAGCGGAGGATTGCCTGAGCATGGGAATCCTGTACCCACGTGAGAGACCTGGATAGAGCTTGTGGCCTTGTCCTTGTCCATTATGGCCATCTTGGGAGTGAACCAGTGGATGTAAGATTTCTCTCTTTGTCTCTCTGACCTTCAAATGAATACATAAATCCTCAAACAGCAACAATAACAAACTCTGAGAAGGGAAAATATTTCCAGCGATGCCAGGCTCTATTACTTAACATGTCCAGGGCTCAACAATGACACCAGCAAACTAAGAGTCAGGGCAAACCCACCAAAAGACACCTGGGGAAGCATGGCCCATGTGCACACATCAGCCAACGGACACCCTCACTAGCGAGCCCCAAGCACAGGACTAGTAGACAACACCTTCTTCAACATGTTCGAAAGTTGCTTTTAATCTAAAAGATCAAAAGATATAAGAATGATAGCTGAAAACATTAATGAGGTAAAAAAAAAAGATGGTAAAAAAGCGAACAGAAAAATCTTCATTGGTGAAGTCTAAAAACTAGGATAAAAAAATCAGAGGTTCAACAGGAGTTCTGAGCGCGTGGAAGAAAGAGATCAGAGGGGCCCGTGCAGTGGCTCAGCAGGCTTATCTTCCACCTCAACATTGGCATCCAATGCAGGTCTCGTTTGTATCTCAGCTGCTCCACTTCTGATCCAGCAAACCTGCTTACAGTGTGAGGAAGCAGCGGAGAAGGGCCCAAGTCCTTAGCCCCTGCACCCAAATGAGAGACCTGGAGGAAGCTCCTGGCTCATTTCTGGCTGCTGTAGCCTTTAGGGAGGAAACCAGCAGATAAAAGATCTCTGTGTGTCTCTCTCCTTCTAAAGAGATTAACAATGTTGATGACAGGCCTTGAAATGATCTTGTCTGAGGAAAAGAAAGCAAAAATGAAGAAAAAATGGACAGTGTCTGACAATGACACTGGGGTCCCAGGCTCAGCCCTGCCTGAAGGTGAACCTGCCAACCCATGAACTCTTTGGCTGAAATCAGCGTTAGCTGGTGTGTTCTTCAACACCGAAAGCCTGGATTGAGTTCATGTGTGTGTGTCGGGGGGCAGTGATGTGACAAGATCCATCCGAGCCTCCCCACCCCACCACCAACGCATCGGAAGTCCCCTCTTGGCACCTGACTCGATCTCTTCCAGAAAAAATGCTGACCAACCACGTGTAGACATGACTGGAGAATAAATCACTCAGGAAACAATTTAGGAAAGGTAGTATTAAGATTTGTACCCTGCAAACTGCAACACTGGTGGGAGAAATTAAGGAAGCACCAAATAAATGGAGAAATAATTGCTTGTTCCTGGATTGGGGCTGCTGTCAACTTCTTTGCCTGAACTTGATTTCTTTTTGAGGCAGAAAATTACAGTTTAATTACATGGGGGGAAAATGTCTTGAGAGTGGACTCTAACAAAGCAGATGGCTAATCATACTGGAGGAAAAATTAGCAACAGACGCAGTTGCTGATGAAAAAAGCTTATATTAATCTGGACACTTGACTAATTAGATGCTCCAGACGAGGGCGTGGTTAGCTTGTGGCGTGCGGGCACGTTGTGTTACTGACTCATGTAGTGGGGTTTTTGTGGATGCTGGGGCTAGGGGCATTTTCATGGACCTAAAGGGTGTGGGTTTCATACCAGTGGTTTCCAAACCTGAATGTAAATCAGAATTTCCAGAAAGCCTGTCAAGGGCAGATCTGGAGTGGGAACACATTGCGACAAGTGTCCTGGACCACACTTGGAGAAGCGCCCCTAACGATCTTTCAAAATCCACCCACTGAAAAGTGCGCACTTAGAGGACATGTTTAGTCTATTCAAAGCTGTGTCACTCTCAGCCGCCATAACACTGCTGAGAATTTCCATGACTCCAACAGAAACCTGTGCCCAAGCCTGCATTCTCTGATCTCTTTCAAGACCCCAAATATGCATGATTTCAAGATTCTATTGCACCAAAAGAAACTTACATTTTCATCATTTCTCATCGCCTTTTGGAATTCCTTTAACAAGGAGTGTACCTGCTGTGTCACAGGGCAATTCGCTTTCAGGAACCGTGAAATCTTTCCAAGAGGCAGTGACATCTTCCAGTCCCACTGGCAACGTGTTAGCTTCCTCCTTTCCCACATCCTCACCAATAGTTGCTGCTGTACATTTTTCTTAATTTATTCATTCCAGTGGGTGGGAAGTGACATCTCATTGTGGTTTTGGTTGGCATTTTCCTAATGGCTAAAGACACTGACCATCCTTGGACAGGTTCATTGGTCATCTGAACCGCTTTTTTAAACCATTTGTCCATCGTCAAATGGGGTTGTCTCCATAGTGGTAAGTTGTAAGAGCTCTGTAAGTATTGTGGATATTAGACTGCCATCAGACATGAATTAAAAACATTTCCTCTCATTTTCTGGGTTGATTTTTCACTTTCTTTGACTACGAATCATAGAAATTTTCTATTTCTATAAAGTCCAATTTATTGATTGCACTGGTTGTTCATTTGTGTGTGTGTGTGTGTGTGTGTGTGTGTGAGAGAGAGAGAGAGATATCTGTGAGTCTACAGCCTAATTCAAGGCTATGAACATTTACATTAAGAGTTTCAGCCTTTGACGTATGGGAGTATTGCCAGCATCTGAGCCCTACCCCACTAACCTATCATCTGTCTTCAGGCAGTGCCAGACAGTGTTAACGAGTCCATCTTCATAGTAAAATCAGAAGCCATAAAGTACCTCTAACTTGGTTCTTCTCCAGACTGTTCTATTTCGGCCCACTGCATTTCCATATGAATTTTAGGATCAACTTGTCAGCTTCTGTGAAAAGCCAGCTAAATCTGTGGATCCATCTGGGGATTATCACCCTCTTAAAGCAGCTAAATCCTCCAATCCAGGAACACGCGATTATCTCTCCATTTATTTAGGGCTTCCTTAATTTCTCCCACCGATGTTGCATAGTTTGCAGGGTACACGTCTTAACACTACTTTTGCTAAATTGATTCCAAAGTGTTTTATTCTTTTTGATGCAACTGTAAACGGAACCATTTCCTTACTTTCATTTTCAGATTCATTGGTACTATATAGGAATGAGCTGAACTTTGTACTGTAATGGTTCTTTTTTTTTTTTTTGACAACTTAGCATTTTTCTATCTATAAAAACAGGTCATTTATGAATACACAAAGTTTTACCTCTTTCCCAGCTGGGATACCTTTTATCTCTTTTTCCTGCTCACTTGGTCTGACCAAGGCTTCCACTGCCATATTGCATAAGAATGGTCCCAAGGTATGGCCAGCTTTGCCTTAATACCACAGTGGGCTGTCCTGTCCACCCCATGGAGTGGTACTGAGGGGACCTTCTGTTTGAGTCCTCCCTTGGGATGGTCCTCCCTAGCCCTACCCACCCATCTCACAGCACATGGGCAGAGTAAGCCACTTGCTGCTATGGGACAGCCATGGGGTCCTCCTGATGAGTGCATACAGCACAGGATGGCAGGGCGGCTCCCTGACGAGCGGCTGTGTGACTCACAGCTGCTCTTAGCCTCAGTTTTTCCTCTCTGCAAAATGGGGACAATGACACTGCTCACTCCCAAGGCAGCATGGAGAGGTGGTGCAGGTTGGCCGGAAGCCTTGCTGTCAACGATCATGAGCGAGGCACCTGAGCTCTTGGGGCTTCCTTCCCTTCTCTGGAAAGATTCTAGAACAGGGTGCAGCACACAGCATTGCCTTAAGACCCCGCCATGTGGCCAGTGTTGTGATGCAGTGCGTTAAGCTGCTGCCTGGAATGCAGGCATCCCATCTGAGCACAGGTTGGCTGCAGTCCCAGCTGCTCCCCTGCTGATCCGGCTCCCTGCTAACACACCTGAGGAGGTGATGAAAGCTGACCCAGGTGCTTGAGTCCCTGTTACTTGGGTGGGAGAACCGAATGAAGTTCCTGGCTCCTGGCTGTGGCACGGCCAGTCCCAGCCGCTGAGGAAGTGAGTGAGCCAGCAGATGGAAGCTTACATTCTGTATCTCTCTAACTCTGCTTTACCAATAAACAAATAACTCATTAAAACAATTTAAAATCCTGCTGCAGACTCAGATGTAATTGGTGCTATCCGAATCCCCCAAACCCTCATCTCTAGATGAGGGCTAAAGCCAAAACCCTCATCTCTGGAGTCAGGCCTTTCAGGAGGTAATTCAAGTTGAATCAAATGCAGAGTGGTATCCTAACTTAACAGTGACAGCACCAGAGAGGAGCAAGGCAGACGTCATTCCCTCCACGTGCATGATCTATGGAAAGGCTGTGTGAGCGCACAGTCAGGAGGTGGCCACCTGCAAACCAAGCAGGGAACTCTCAGCCACGCCCTCATCCTGGCCTTCCGTGGCTCAGGCCCCCTGGGCTTCCGTTCCCAGCCCGGGCTGACCATTGCAGAGCCCTGCAGGAAGTCCCTACTTCCGGCCAAGACCTGACCTAGGCAAGTCCTCAGGATAGGAGGCAGGAAGGCCACTGCCTGGTGAGGACAGGGGGCAGGAAAGCAAGTCCTGTTGAAGGGTCCAGGCGCAGCCTCTGAGGCCTCGCAGAATCTCGCAGACTCTAAGCCAACTGCAAACCAGCACCCTGAACCCAGGGCTTTCCCCAGCTAGCCTGGGTGTAAGGTCACAATGGCAGTTATTTTGGGGTGGAAGCAGAACTGCAGACAGTTTCCATGGGCAGGGGTTTCCATGGGAGAAATAGCGCCCCCTTAGGTCTGGGAGGACTAATTCCAGCCACCATGGCCCAGGGAGGGAAGAACAAGGCGGAATTCAGTATCCACTTGTCCATCCAGGACCAGAGCAGGTAAGCCCCATACCCAGGGAACTTTTGGGAGGGGAGCTCTTGGCCTGGTCCTAGCCAGTGCAGCAATTCCTCATCCAAGTGGGAAGAGTTGCTGTCCCCACCCCCACCACACCCTGTGTGTCCAGTGTATGCCAGAGCATGGCCACAATGCACCACAAGCCTGCAGATACCCGGAGGGCAGGGGGCTGGGGCTGTCCTGTTCCCACCTGAATGCCCAGAGCCCGGAACAGTGTCAGGCATGTACTCGCTGGGAGAAGAATCATTATCCAGGTGCCTGGAGCTCAAAGCCTGCACCTGTCAGGTACTCAGAACCTCCTGATATATTCTTTGGCAGGCAGCAGGTGTATAGACCAGCTTCTTCCCTGTCCCCCAGCCCCTACCCTAGCATTCCTCCCCAGCCATGGCATGCCTCCTAGGCACCCTGTCTGGGAGAATAGCAGCTCCATCCACTTGCGGCCCCTACAACCCTGGGTTACCGTGATGCAGAACCAGCCAGGACTGGGGAGGAGTTGTAGCAGGGCTGGGAGCTGGATGAGTGGAATTCCTCCCACGTGCAGCGTCTCAGTCACTTGGTCTCATTTCCTGTGCCCTGGACTCACCCCAGGCCTTGGTTCCCCCTGGCTGCTAAGCACACCCACAGGAGCCTGCCCAGCCCCTGCTCTCTTCCCATGGGGAGGAGGAAGTGACTTGTGGTTTCCAAGGCAATGCCTGGAAACACATCCGCAGGGGCCAAGGGACTTTCCTTCCATGAGGACACAGGAAATCCCGGCCTTTGCCACAGGGGCCAGGAGGTGTGTGGACTGGCACGAGAGTCCAAGGGTGTGTCCTGCAGTCTTGGGCTGAAAAGAAGGTGGGTAACTCCAACAGGAAGCCCCCTTGGGAAGGATGGAGGTGGAGTGACGGGTGCAGAGAACCTGGGAGCCACTGGGGCCCAGGCTTTGCAAGATAGCCAGGTTCCAAGCCCGAGGTGGGGGTCTCTGTCCATGGAACCCCAAATCTCAGAGCAGAACCAGATTCCAGGGCAAATGGAAGGGGGCCTGGTCTCAAGGGCTCCCCCACCCAATCCTGCCAAATTCAAGGCTCCAAGGAAATGGGAGGGTGTGGCCAGCTCACATCACAGAGGGTTAGGTGGCTGTGAAGTCCCTACTTCCGGCCACGACCTGACCCAGGCCTGTGCCCAGGCCTGTGCCCCGAAGCCCCAGGCTAAGTCCTGATGGAGCCCCCTGCAGCCTTGCTGGAGAGCCCAGCCACCACAGAACTCACCTGGCACAGAGAATGGAGACAGGAAGACAGCCTCAGCAGGCTCGGGCTCGGGGGGTGGCGGTGGAGGCTGCGGCTGCTCCTGGTCTTGCTGTGGCTCTTCAGGGTTGGGGTTGTCCGTGGGGACACTGCCATTCTCGATGTTCTCGTGTCGCCCGTTCTGAAGTGGCTTGGTGCTGCTCACTCCATTGGCTGAGTTGATCAGTCTCTGCCGCTGTGTGATGGGAGGCAAGACGGACGTGGGAGCAGCATGAGCACAAAGCATGCCGTGCCTGCCCTGCTCCCTGCACAGCCAGTTCTCATGGGATCTAGAACAGGCTCCCCACCACGGGTTCACCTGGAGCCATCTGTTTGCTCCTTTCTGTTCCCAGAAGCCTGTCGGGGTGGAGAGCCTGGGTCTTCCCTGATTTGTGTCAGCTCAGCCACACGATCAAGATCCCCCCCCCACAACAGTGGTCACTTTAGGACCCTCCTGGGCGCAGCCACAGGGAAGCCCTGCACAGCTTCTGCAGCCTTAAACAAACCAAGCAAAAACAGACTTACATGATGCATGTGGCTCAGTGGGCCTGACACTGAGGGTGGAGTATCGAGGCAACCTCTATCTTGACTTTTTTAACTTCATTAATTTCCCCAGAATCTGAACTTCACAGAACTGGATTCAGATTACATATACCACATTGCATCGTACTGTGGTAGAAGCTGGCTCTTGAAACCCTCAATGCCTCCCTTGCCTTTTGATGGGCACATGAGTGTGGCTTTTTCCCTTTCTTTCTCATGAAGAATGTAGCTATGGACATCTATGTCCATGGAGGATTTTGAGGACATGCTCACTTCTCGTGGGCATTTACCTAGAAGTGTGATCTCTCAATGTCAGGCAGGTGGGTGTGAAATCACTACACACTTGCACTGCCTTAGAATTTCAGTAACCCCCCTCCTTATTGGCATTTGCAATCATCAATGCTTTCATGTTGGCCGTCGTGGAGGGAGTGTGTTTGCAGCTTGGCTTAAGCTTGCATGTCCCCAGTGACAAAGATGCTGGGCATGGCACCTGCTTTTTTATGTGTCTTTCCAAGTCTGATGAACAGATTTTCAAAGGCCTGAGGCCAACCCCACTTGCTTCCCTCCCCACATCCCACTGTGACTCATCACTTGCCTGTGATGGTCACCTTTCTCCCTGAGCCCAGGCTGGCCTTCCTGGCCAAGTCCGTGGGTTTCACCCAAATTAGGCACAGACACAAGCAGAATTTCAAAAACCCAACTGGCTGCCATTTTCCCAGGAACTGATCTGGTTTCGCCAAACTCCCCTTCATGTGGTTGTCAGTGAAGCATGTTCTGGACCAGCTATAAGCCATGTGGGTCATGTCGAGCACAGAACAACCTCCCTCCCAGCTACACTAGCAGCAGACCGGGTGACAGCACTGTTGCATGGGCCACTGCCTGGGCCACATTTCCACCTGTAGGCTCAACACTTTATCCTTGTGGATTTTTTGTTTTTAGGGACATCATCATTTGCAATGGAAGCATGTCAATTTCCTCTACAGGAAAGAATCGGCCATGTGACTACCTTCAGTTTGAGTTTCAGCAGCAATTCTCAAATTAGAAAGTCTAAGATATGGTAGAAATTAAAATTTTTTTTTTCTCATGGAGTTTGGAGCACATCTCGTCCAGACGCATGTGCCGACATGAGGGCATTGCAATTTTTCCTACCCAAGGAGGGTTAAAGGCCAGGCTATCCTTGCATTCCAGGAGAACTAGCTGTGCGTGGACAGAATTGTCAGAGGGGAAGCACACAGCAAAGTGAATCGTGGCCGTATTTTAGCTTAGTAGGAATCAATAGGCTTGTACCTGGAAGAATACCTAAGGACAGCTAAGGTTGATATTAAAAGAGGAACAGAACACAGTGTAAAGGAGTTGATGGAGCCATACACTGAGAGAGCCAAGCCCAAAGGTTTCACAGCTGCATTCTAGAAGGTGAGGCCAGGAGCCCTGGCAAGCCAGGGTGGTTGTTCCAATGACACTTATGCCCAAGGCTAGAATTACAAGTGATGATGGTCATGCCACCTCCGCAACAAAGAAATAGAAAGGAGAAGGCAGAGAATGGGGACTAAATGGATGCCATCTCCCTTTTACAGTTGAGATTTCTCATATTCCAGAATTAAAATAACCAGAGGAGCCAGCCTGTGGTGCAGTGAGTTCAGCTGCTGTCTGTGATGCTAGCAGGTTTGAGTACCACAGCTCCCTGTGAACATACCTCTCCCTGCCTTTGAAATAAACAAACATTTCTCTTAAAGAGAAATGGCCCAAGAGGTGTTAAGACATAAAACTCTGAGGGCCTAGTGCCGTGGCCCAGCGGCTAAAGTCCTTGCCTTGAACCTGCCCGGGATCCCATATGAGCACCAGTTCTAATCCCAGCAGCTCCACTTCCCATCCAGCTCCCTGCTTGTGGCCTGGGAAAGCAGTCGAGGAGGGCCCAAAGTCTTGGGTTCCTGCACCCGTGTGGGAGACCTGGAAGAAGTTCCTGGATCCTGGCTTAGGATTGGTACAGCACCGGCCATTGCGGTCACTTGAGGAGTGAATCATTGGGTGGAAGATCTTCCTCTCTGTCTCTCCTCCTCTCTGTATATCTGACTTTGTAATAAAAATAAATAAATCTTAAAAAAAAGACATAAAACTCTGAAACTGGGCATTCTGTGGGGTTTACTCTGCTCAAATCCCATTCCAGGATGAGTTTACTCCTAACGTGGCTGTGTAGCTGCAGGCATGGTCTTGCGGTGTACCTTGCTCAAATCTTTAGGACTGGAAGCTTAATGTCCAGGACCCCCGGATGGAAAAAATGAGGCCCAGCCACTTCGTAGCCAATGTGAGGGTGAAACCTGAACGGTCTCCCTGGGCCTGACCTGTCTCCTTGTTGCCTTCCAGGGAGGACCAACTTCCATGTGGTGGAAGATGCTGCTTTCCCAGCAGCTTAAGATGGTCAGGACCTGGCAACTAGCGTTTGCAAACTGAGGCTATTCCTGGCTGCATACAATATGCACAACTGCCATGAACAGAACTCTCCAAGTCTCAAGTGTTGTTCAATAGCCCCTGCCACTTCCCTCTGCTCCCACCAGACCACTGAGTACAAAGGAAACACTCATGAAAAACAGACTAGATGGATACACACAGCATTGGTTGGAGCCAAAACGATTCAGAAAAACTTGGAGAAGTCTTTCCACTCCTCAACAAGAGTGTGGGCACGTTGTGTATGTTTAAAATATTGCACCTGTAAGCACTGGGAGATTTGCTTCCTGCTTATCTTCTATGTGTAACTTTCCAGTATCAGTGGCCATAGTCTGAAGTTCTCCAAAACTGCTGCTGAAAATGAAATACTTAACATTCCAGTATGCACACAGAGGAGGGTTCTTCCAAGAGTCAATGGGAAAACGGCACTAAAAGGTGTTTACTTATAGTCCCAGCCTCCCACAGGGGCACCAGTTCTAGTCCCAGCCACCCCACTTTCCATCTGGCTTCTTGCTTACGGTTTGGGAAAGCAGTGGAGGATGACCCAGGGCCTTGGGACCCTGCATCCATGTAGGAGACCCAGAAGAAGTCCTGACTTCAAATTAGTTCAGCGTCAGCCATTGCAGCCATTTAGGGAGTGAACCAGAGGATGGAAGACCTTTCTTTCTGTGTGTCTGTCCTTCTCTGTATAAATATGCTTTTCATACAAAAATAATTGCTTTTATTTTTAAGAAAAGATGTTTACTTGCATCCAAAAAATGTGGAAATCCATGCATAGTTTTTCAACAATACACATGTTCCATATGCGTGGACTTCAATTTTTTCGCACCCAAATAAACTTTTAAAATGTTTATTGACTGTTATTTATTTGAAAGGAAGAGTGATGGAGAAAGACAAAGAGTGAGAGAAAGGCATCTTCTAGCTGTTGGTTCCCTTCCCAAATGCCTGCCACAGCTGGGGCTGGGCCAGGGAGAAGCCAGGAGTCCGAACTGCACGTCTCCCATGTGGGTGGCAAGGTCCCCAGTATTGAGCCATCACCTGCTGCCTCCCTAGGCTGTGCACAAACAGGAATCTGCATCAGAAGCAGAGGTGGGGCTTGAACCTGGGAGATAGAATGTAGGTGTCTCAAGTAGTGGCTTAACTCTCTGTGCCACCATGCTAATCACTCCCTCTGCAAACTCATGTTTTCACCACATAGACTAGAATAATTGGTAAGCCTATCATCTTGGCTTTGTTATTTACACAAAAGTAACATGCAAAATTGCTCTTGTTTTCAAAGGAGAGACACACAGCACAGAATCCGAGTGCCCCCGCAAGAGTGCCGGGGCAAGCCCTGGGCCACCACGGCCCGCCAGCACTTCTTCTATGGCTGTTTCCTCCATAGAGAACAGTTTGTGCACTTATCCTTTTCTTCTAACTAATTTTCTAAAGAAACACATCCTGCTTCTGTTAGTTCTGCTCTGGTGCCCAGCAAGAGGCTTGTAGAAGCTTCTAGGCACAATACTGGGTCATCCCCTGCTTTAGACATCGTCCCCAAAGGAGACGGTGCTGCCTGTGGCTGGGGTCGGACCAGAGCTGCTTTCCGTAAACAGGTGCGGTGACCAGCACCACCGGAAGGGCCTCAGCAGCCAGAAGCCCATCTGAGGCCACCGGCTCTCACCCCAGGCACACCCACCTCATTGATGATGATCCTGCTGGCCATTCGCAGGCGGGTCCTGGGCCCGAACTTGTTGGTGATCATGATACGCAAGCCCGCCTCGGGGAAGGTGAACTTGGGGGGACTGGAGCTCATGATCTCGTCCACCATCACCACGGGGCTCTTGCCGTACTGTGGCTTCTCCTTCACTATTGAGCACAGTGCTGGAGTTAGTGCTGACCTCTCCCAGGGCCACACCCACACGCAGGGCCCCTGGCCTCCCCTTATTCTGTAAGCATGTGGGGCCATGGCCTCTGCCAGACAGCCACCTGGCAGTGGCTGCTCCCATAAAGGCACCTCAGCAGTCTGGAAACACCTACTGACTCAGCGTCACTCAGTGGGTATCTAGCCACAGGGCTGCTCATGTTCAGACCCTTGGGGCTCCAGGCCCATCCCTCTGTGTCCCTGAGCCTGCTCTTGGCTGGTTCTGAGGGTTGTTTAGCCCCTAAGCCTTGTTGGAGTAGCCCACCCAAGGCATCTGTCACCTGTGACTGAGGCAGAGGAAGCCCATGTCCCAATTCTCTGGGGAAATGTTATACCCGACAGGACTTCCCCAGGAACAAAGACGCTGCTGAGACACGCTGCAGGGTCCTGGCATTGCCTTTCTCCAAGCTGCAGGGGAGGACCCTGAGACCTCGGCTCTCCAAAAGACAAGGTCATAGCTTGGGTCCCAGCTGGGCAATGAGAGCCCAGAGAGAGGCCCTGCTTGCCAAGGAGTTCTTGGGGAGCAATGGGCGAGGCAAGCGTCTCTGGAAAACCTGAGCACCCCCAAGGAGCCTCTCCGTCCTCTCAATAGACTGAGCAAACTTCTCAGTCACCAGGCCGCTCCACAAATGGGCTCACTGGCGAGGGATTTGACAACTGATCCCAGCTTCCCAGGAGGACCGAAGCACTCACACCCACAATAGCAGAGGCAGGACAAGCCCTACCCTCTGGGCAGCTGTGGAATTCGCCCTTACACCTGCTACACCACCCCACGTGAGTGTGCCTTGCAAGGAACAGAGAGACCAAGAGGATGGCCATGCAAGAGGTTAGGGACACCAAAACACACACCAAACACACCCCCTCCCCAGGCAGCGAGCAAGGCTCAGCAGACAGGAGGCTTGTGGGTTAGCAAACAAAGCCAGGAGGACCATGCATTCATCCGCAGGGACACTGACCTCCAGCAAAGGTGTGTGGCCTTGGGCTGGGCTCGTAGTGCCTTTCTGGCTTTTGAAATGCATGTGTTACTGCCAGGATGAGAGCAGACTACTTACAATTTAGAAGAGGAGGATTGTTAAGGAGACAGAGGCCAACAGAGCCTGCCAGAGGTGCTTAGTGTGCGGTGGGATCTGGGTCAGCAGTCTGGGTGGTGGTGAAGATGCCAGGGGTTACTGAAGGAGGGTGTTAGTAGCAGACTCCTGCCACAGGGAGCCTGGGTGCTCGGGGTCTCCCTTTCAGACACAGGGGACACCAGCAAAACTGCAGGCTCCAGACTGCCTTGTGGCAACAGCCCAGGCACAACCCACTGTGACGGCAAATGACTGGGCTCAAGGAGGAAGGGCACGGAGCCTTGTGAGGCTCCCTGGGGCAACCCTGTCCTGGTGTCACCCCCCAAGGGATGGCACGAGGTGGAATGCACAAGCCAATGATGGCAGCCTGTAGGGTAACTAGATTACAGGTCGTTTTGGTAGCAGTTGAGCCCAAGGTTGGGGTCACCTCTTTTCTCTCTACTCCAAGCCTAAGACGTGCCCCATGGCCAGGGTCACACGTGAGCCCCTGAGCTGGATCAGCTTGGCACAGCACGGCAGTTGTGTACAAGGTCACCTGGTAGCTCACCAGGATTGAATTGGGGAGCTGAGCTGCATGGCCTTTTAGAATACAGCCATATAGGACCTTCACATGAAACATCCCAAGCTGACAGCAGCAAAATCAGGGCCCAGGGCCAGTGTGTACTCAGGACACAACCAGCCAGCTGCCCTCACATTGCTGCAGGTGACACTGCACCTGTGTGGAGGCTGACATGGGTGGGTGCTCTGCCATCATCTGTAGCCACAAGAGCCCAGGGAAACTGTCAGAAAATGCAAAATCCCAAAGTCCAGGTCTCCTCCAGCCCACCACGGTGTCCCAAGTGACACTGCTTCCTGCTCTGTCACATCTGTTTAGGGGACAGTGTCCTGCAGTAATTCACACACACATAGGGGCTTTCCTATGGGCAGTAAAGCCCAGGGCCCAAGGCCCACATCTCCTGGCTGCAACTCTGAATTGTGGACTCTGGAGCCCTGGACGCAGTACTCAGGCCAGCTAGGAACACCAGGCCTGCAAGAAGGCATGGCTTACCAGGTGAAGAGACAGCCGGAACGTTAGCACCTGCTGCAACCAAAGCCCTTGCTGGATCCAAGAGTCCTGTCCAGCACTGACATTGCCTTGGGGTGGGCAGCGGGGAGATCCTCTCTCCTCTAGTCACTGGCCCTTCATCTGAGGGTGTCAACACTGGACTACTAAGAACCAAGGACATGTTTCCAGGGAAGCTACCAGCGAGGTCACTTTAAGGACTCTTCTCAGATGAATGGGGTGGATCCAGAGCTCGGGGCCCACAGCTTCCAAACCAGGGGGCCTGCAGAGCAGTGAGGTGACAAGGAGATGTCTTCCCCACAGGAAATGGGCTCCCAAGCAGAGCTCTCCAAGACCAGCCACCTGCTCCATGGCTTCCTTTCCTGGGCTGGCCAGTCCTCCAGCCATGGACTCTGTCCAGGACAGGGCTCTTCAGCACTAAGCGTGGTATTTGAGGAACCACTGGGAGGCCAAGACGGCTCAGCCACCCCAAGCCCTGAGCCCCCACCACAGAGCTCCTTCCCCAGAGGGCTCGGGGAGACCACTGGGTTTCTTTTCTGGGTAGTTCTTGCCATCTATGCTGCCATCATCTAAGCAAATGCCAACTCGAATAATCACTCCCTCCTCATTCAGGATGCCCATACCCGAGGGTACCAAGTACAAGTATGGTGTGTATGTGGGTGTGTGTGCATGTGTGTGCAGCCAAGAGGAGGAGGATGGTCCCATGACAAATTAGGGCCACTCCTGTCTGCTCAGCCTTACCTTGCCCCAGCAATGGCACGGAGGGGTCATCATAGCTACCGTCATAGAAACCATTACCATCTTCCAGCTCACTGTTGACTGGGTTGCCGTTGGCGATGCTCTTCTGTTTGATGGTGAAAAAGGCTTGGATCCTCATGTTGTACCTGAAAGGCAGGGGAGGCAGGAGGTCAGGGCAGCAGAGGGAAGTCCCCCCTGAGCGGGTGCAAATGTGATTAGCATAGCCCAGGGAGTGGTCATAGGAGGTAGCCAGAGAGGTGCTGATCAGGAGCTTCAGCTGAAGAAGGAGAAGCCCCCACTGGCAGCCATGGCAATGCGTTCCTGCTGAGCTGTGTGTGGGCTTTCCCGGGAGAAAAGAGACTTTGCCCTAGAAAGTGTTGGGGTCCACTCACCTTATACGGGATGACTCTGTCCCAACAAGTTTCCGCAGCCTGCAGGACAGGCTCTGAGCAGGCAGCAGCGCCAAGCCTGTGCTGTTTCCCTGCTACCCTGCAGATCCTGCCCCCCTCCATTGGGGGATGCTGCTCAGTGGATACCCTCTGCCTCATGGCTGGTACCGTATGGCACCCCTCCCAGGAAAGATCCTCTCGTCCCAGGTGAGAGAGCCCCAGGCCTCTTGGCACTGACGGGCATAAAGTAGATCCTTTCCGGACGACTCCCTTGCTGCTCACCAACCCACAGCCCACTTCAATGAAACACTAGGACCTTCTACCCTCGGTGCGAGGACTTACACTCTGCCAACCCCTGGCTGCTGTCTGCTGAGTGCGGAGGCAGGAGGGGAAGAGGACTGGACAGGCTCAGCTCAGGGGGTTTCATTTCTGGTTTGTGTGTGTGTGTGTGTGTGTGTGTGTGTGAGAGGAGAGAGAGAGAGAGAGAGAGAGAGAGAGAGAGAGAGAGAGAGAGAGAGAGAGATGCTCTGGTGGGGAAAAAAAAATAGATGTGACATAAAATGTGCCACTTGAATGATCTCCTGTTTCTAAGTGCTCACTCCTGGGCACCATGGCCCTGAGCACCGGAGCCCTTTCACCATCCCCTCCAGCAGCTCCTCACTCCTTTACCCCTAGCAGCAGCCACTGCCTTCCCCTATCCTTGGCACTCACTGTGAAGCCATGCTGTGTCTGAGTGAGACCTTTCTGGATGCCTCCTGCGAGCAGAAACACACATCTGTCTGTGTCGGGTTTCTTGCACCTGGCGTGGGGCTTGGAGATCCATCCACATCAAAGCCTGGGACACAACTGACCTCCTTTTCATGGCTGAGTAATATTCCGTGTCGGGTCATTTTGAGTAAGCTGCAACCTGGCACTCTCTGGATAGGCTCACGATTGTACCACTCCAGACCCAGCTGCTGTATCCCCAGGCACATGAGTGGCATTTTCTGTTGCTGGGTGTGGAAGTGGGATTTTACCCAGAGCAGAAGTGATGCTACCTGGCTTTTGGACAACAGCAGGCTTAAACAATTGGGAGTTTATTAACATGGCAAAGAGTGGCTACCTTGGGGCAGGTGGAAGCTGCCCAGGGATCCTTATTCTTCCCGGTGTGGGCAGCAACCTGATCCTGCTCACTCTGGAGGCCTGGTGTAATTGGCCTGTTCTGAATGCAGACAGCATACCCTATACAGTGTCCAAACCCACTCACAACTCTAGCACTCTCAACTTGGTGTCCACTGAACACTGGAGGTTGGCAGAGCTGGCCTGAAGGATACGTTTGAGAAGGCTGTGGATTGAGGTATCAGCCCAATAGGGAGAAGGGGCAGGTGCTTGGCCTCATGGTGGGAACACCTGTTAAGACTCCCATCCCACCTCAGGGTGCCTGTATCTCCAGCTCCTGACCTCGTGTGGACGCACACCCTGGGAAGCAGCTAGTGATGGTTCAAGTCCTTGGGTCCTCAGCACCACAAAGAAACTCAGGTTGTGTTCTGAGTTCCTGACTTTGGTCTGACCCAGGAGTGGCTGTTGCTGGCATTTGGGGAGTGAACAGTTCGGGTTGTGGGGGGCATTCTCTGCCTCTCAAGTGAGTATTTCGTCACTGTTACAAAAGAACCCAAAGAGGAGGAGAAGAGGCACTTACTTCATGATCAGAATATAAAACACATACAGCACGATGAGCACCAGGCCTTCCCACCTCAAAGAGAGAGAGGAGCGTGTGGTTAGAGATGGGGCTGACACAGGGAGGTAGAAGCTGTGAAGTGCAGCCAGTGGAGGGGCAGGCCTGGCACCTAGGCCCTGTGGGTCTGATGACCCAGCCTGTGGATGTCCCATGGTGAGGGGTCTCCAGGACTCAGACAGAGGCCTCCACCTCTCCAGGAAAATCAGGGACCACTGGGCAGCCCCATACAGGATTCAGGTGGGTGGTTACCCTGAAAAAACCTAGATCTTGCTTAAGAGAAGAGGCATGGTGAGCCCGGGAGAAAGGGCCCATTCTCTGGGACAGGAGCTGAGAAGTGACTTCACACAGGGCTGGACAGGGCCCAGGGTCATCTGGGCTGACTGCTGGGTGTGACTGTGGAGCAGCGCTGTTTCAGCATGCATGGTCACCACTCTCTTGCAGTGCGGCCGAACCTCACTGGACAGCAGGGGTTTTTGAGCTCTGGTCACAGGTCACTGAGGAATCCCGCGAGCTCTGGGTGACAAACATATAAGAGGGTTCCTGTGAGCTGGACACAGCTGCAGCCCTTCAGGGGAGATGCTTCCTGTGTGGACAGGGACCCAGGGGCCAGCAGCGCTGCACAGGGGCTTGCAGGATGATTTTTTCATTTTGAAAACATAAAGGCAGGACTGCGTAGAATGATTTCCTTTATACTCTCACCGTGTAACACAGATCTAAAAGACTCAGCAGACCCAGCCCACACAGGTATTGAAGAGGAACCAAGGGCAGAAGAGCAAAACACAGAAATGAGAAACTTACCACACGATTTCTTCATCATATATGAACTGGAAGGCAAAAGAAACAAAAGGGAGGGGCAGGAGATGTTGATCCCAAAAGAGCATGGGCCCCCCCGAGACTCCCGCCCCCCCAAGCCAACACCCACTGGTCCTGCAGCCTGTGCTGTGGCAGGCCAGGTTCTCCTCCACTGCTGAGTGAGGGACACCATGAAGGACACCTTTCCTGGAGCCTGGGCCAGCGGGATGCTGCGATGCGGGCTGGCCCAGGAGACGTGGTCTGGCTCTGTTAATCCTGGGAAGCTGCTGGGGGACGCCCATGCAGGGGCCTCCCCTTGTCAACAGGATGGAGGCATCTTGATTTCTTGGTATGTGCTCCAGCTGCTGCTTAAGACATGTGTGTTCCATTAGTAGCTCACTACTAATGCATCTGAGAAGGCAGTGGCAGATTGCCCAAATCTTTGGGTTCCTGCACCCACATGGGAGACCCAGAAGAAGCTCCTGGCTTCAGACCAAGCCAGCACTGACCATTGTGGCCATTTGGGTTGTGAACCAGCAATAGAAGATCTCTCTCTTTCTCTCTCCTCTCTCTCCTCTCTCTCCTTGTAATTCTTGATTTGAAAATAGATAAAATAATAAATCTTTTTAAAGAGGTCATTTCTTTGAAAATTCCAAGGACCAGCTTTGTACAATTTAAAGAGAGGTTGGCAAGTGATGATAGGACCACTGACGCTGTTCAATGTCAAGGTTTACTTATTTTTTTTAAGAGATAAATTTTTATTTGAAAGGCAGAGCTATAGAGCTCTTTCATCCACTGGTTCACTCCCCAAATGGCCACAATGACAGCCAGGACCCAGGAACTTTCTCTGGGTTTCCCATATGACCTTCCCAGGGCATAAGGAGAGAGCTGCATCAAAAGGGAAACACCCAGAACACAAATGCTGGCGCCACAGGCAGAGGTCCAGCATCACTACGCCACAGTGCCAGCCCCAATTGTTAAGGTCAGTTTTCAGCTGCAATCTAGCTGGATTCAGGGGCATTTCATAAAGGTTCATGGAAAATGTGTGCTGTGGAAAACTGCATGGGTTTCAACTTTTGGCATAAATTAAACCTCTCTTAATTGTTTTCCACATACGTGTTTTCAGGTGTTTTCAGGTGTACCTGTGAGGCTGTTCCTCAGAAAGGAGTGTATCTGAGTTGGGGCACTGATCATGGAAGATCTCCCCTCCCCACTATGGGCAGGGCCCAGGCAGGGTAGGCATCTTGAATGTTCTGATGAATATTCATGCAACTGAAACCCAGGGGCCTAAGCCTGCAACTTAACTAGGCTCTACAAAGTATTTTTACCTTAACAAACACTTCATTTACTAGTGGAGCAACTGACACAGAGACTGAAAGCCGATCAAAACTTGGCTGTTTTTAAAATTTCACCAGAGTCCCTCATTGTTTTGGAAAATCCCAATTAATGCTGGCCGCCCACAGGACCTCTGGCCACATACAATGGTGTCACTCTACATTTGTGATGGACAGTTGTGGCCACGGCAGGGGAGGACTTGCGAAGGGGCTGGTACCCCCTGACATTGATGCTATGGGTTCTGCACTAACAGCACCATGAGCAGGGAGGCGGTGGGAATGTGTGACTTTGCTGGGTCCTGGGACAGAAAGCCCACTCACCGCGATGAGCACGACGACAGACAGGGTGTAGTACACGGAGTCCCGGCACACAGCCCACCACGTCAGACGCACCACCTGCGGGCACAGCACTGTCAGCTGGTATTGATTGAGCGATGGGAAAGGACCCAGCCCTGTCCCCTTCAGCTGCAGGAGGTCACTCCTGCCACCCCTGTCCTGTTATGTCTGGGACCACAATGAAATCCAGTTAAGTTCTCAAGCGATGGCAAATCTAACCCTTACACAGGGCCTGCTTCACAGTAGGTGCCACCTGCCAGGGTGGGCACCAACTAGAGGCTCTCTATCGAGGTCCACCCACTGCCATGGCCATTTTTTCTGGGCTATTGGCAACCCAGTCCTTCCTCCCAGGCCCTCACCCATGAGCCTGCTCTTCTGAGATCAATCTCACATCCCCCTGTGGCTTTAGGGCTCTCTCAGCAGAGCCCAGCAGCAAACCTGCCCCATGCCCGCTGGGCAGACCAAGGCCAGGCCCCAAGTCTCCAGGTTGCTTCTTGCACAGCTGCTGTTGTCCAATCAGGGTGGGCCTGTGCACTGGCCCACACTGCCAATCCCAACCCAAGACCCCCAGACTGCTGGAGGGGGAAGGAACATCCCTCACTGCTTTCACACAAGAGGAAGTGGGTTCAGAAGGGAAAGCTAACGCTCAGAGGGGAATGTCCCATCTGGCAGATGCTGGGCCCTGGGCCTCCACACGCAGCACTCCCACTCTCTTCATGCAAGCACTACCCTCACCTCGTGCAGGGTGCTGCTCCCTCTACCCCTAGCCAGGTTGGGAGGAGCCACTCACCTGCCCTGCGAATAATCCACACACGCCGATGATACATAGGATGTTGAACACGGCAGAGCCCACGATGGTGCCCACCCCGACGTCTCCATGGGTGATGAACACGCCTGAGAGGGGACAGGCATGAAGCCCAATTTTGGGTTGTACCCTTTGGGCCTGCCCATCCTTCTGGGACCCCAACCTGAGGGCAGTGGGTGGTTCTGACACTCTCGGGGTCCCCCCCAAGAGTAAGCATTCAGCCTAGCAGTGAAGATGTCAACTGAGGTCCTCATGTCCCACCTAGGGGTGCCTGGGCTCAGGACTCGCCTCCAGGCCCTGACTCCAGCCACCTGCTGGTACGCATGCTGGGAGGCAGCAGTGACAGCCTCTCCCACAGAAGAGACCCAGACTCTGGGAGCTCCCGGTTCCCAGCCTCGGCCTGGCCTAGCCCCCACTATTCTGGACATTTGGCAAAATATCCAGAGATGAGAACATTCTCTCGCTCTGTTCCTCAAATGTTGCTGCTGATGCTGATGAAGACACGACAGTAGAAGCAGCAAAACCAGAGAAATGGAGGGGTCTCGGTCAGCTCAGAGTCTCCCACTTTTCCCTTATCTTTAAAGATTCATTTACTTATTTACTTGCAAGTCAGAATTATAGAGAGACAGGGAAAAGCAAAGAGGGATCTTCTATCCATTGGCAACAACAGCCAGCACTGAGCAAGCCCAAAGTCGGGATCTGCATCTGGGTAGCAGAGGCCCAAGCACTTGGGCCATCTTCGACTGCTTTCCCAGGCACAGGGAGCTGAACCGGAAGTGAGGCAGCTCGATTTTGAGATGGCACCCATACAGGATGCAAGCAGGGCTTCACCCACATGCACAGCATAGGTCCCCAGCTCATCCCATCAAGTGACAACTCGAATAACAGGCCTGACCTGAGGAACTCCAGGTGGTTCAAGCATGATTAGGAGAAAAATGAATTCCACCTGGAGCAGCACCAAAGGCTGGCAAAGGGATTAGTAAATTTTCATCCCTAAGACAGTTCTGCATGAGCCTGGTTTGTTAGCTCAGTTCCCCTGAGCCCCTCCCAGTTTGTGTTTTTTTGCCTTTATAAACCCTTCTGTTTGGTAGTTTAAGATCAAGAGATCTTAGGGGTGTGAGCACACACTCTATCACCTGAAAAACGATCCCCAAATCTTATCAATGTGTGGGGCTTCCTGTATTGGCTCATCTGGGCACAGCAAATCGAGGACCATAAAGGCAGCACACCCAAAGTCTCCATCTGCATGGGTTTTGTGTAGTCCAGAACACTGCAGCCAAAACAGCACTTTAATCTTAAGACTTTGCCCTCCTCCAAAACCCTCATGCCCATTTGCACCCTACTGCACCTGCTCCCCAGAAACACCAGCCTCCCATCTCTGTGATTCTCCCATTGCAGGGAAGTTGGGGATTGGAGCTGGCAGGAGCCTTCCTGCTATACCCCCTCATCCCCTCAACTCCCAGCCCCCGGTGCCCTGGCCACCACACCAGGCTTTCCCTCTGTCCTGGGCTGCTGGGGCGTCCTTACCGATCACAGAGGCAAAGAGCTCTGGTGTGGAGCTGCCTGCAGCCATGAAGGTGGCCCCGGCCACATCTTCGCTCAGGTGGAGTTTCTGCAACAGAAGCAGCCGCAGGCCCTCAGCGGGCAGAGGAGCCACCTCCTCTGCAAAGCTTTTCTAGTGTGTGGAGAGCTCCCTGACCCGTAGAGAAAAACTCTCACACCATGTCTTTTCTGTGGTGCTTCTTTATTATCCTCCATCTCTTCCCCCTTCTCGGGGGGCAGCAGGCCCACGGAGTCTCCTCCAGCGGACGCCTCGGCCTCCCGCTCCGGGGAACACATCGGAAGCCCAGCCCCACCTGGTTCCGAACACAAGCCTCACAATATATACACTTCACCATCCAATCAACATTAAGGTCAATACAGCACCGGTGAGCACGCACCAGGGGCCAATCAGGATGAAGTTCCGGATTTTGCTAGGCCTCTTCCTCATGACCCTGGCATACAGCCAAGGCGTCATCTTAGGGCTGAGCAGCCGAAGCTCTATTAGCTTCCTAATAGAGATGCTTCCTCTCTCTTGTCAACAGAAATGGATTTTCTTCCTTGACTGGAAGTCAAGAGTGAGGCAGAGTAAAGAGAAAAAGTGGGGTCTCCAGTACACACACACCGGACGCCTGCCATGGAGCCAGAGGCTCTGGGTTATCACTCCACAGGGGGAAAGCTTCCTTCCACTAAGCCCTGGGAGGCGATTCACCTGCCAGCACTCACCTGGAAGTTGCTGTGTGAGTAGCTGCCATGGCACAGATGCCAAGAGCCTGGGGCGAGTCTCCACCTCAGCCAGTCCTGCAGATGCCCCACATCCTCTGTGGCCCCCAGCCCCAGGGTTTACCACAGGGTCCCCACATACCTCACAGATCTTCTCCAGAGAGGGCACGAAGAAGTCGTCGCACACAATGGCCAAGGCATAGAACATGTACAGAGCCTGTGAAGGGAGTGGGGACACCTCGTTCAGGAAGCATTCCCATTGTAGCTGCGATGACGCACCATGCCCCAAACAGCCTGTTGGGGGGGTGGAGGAGGCAGGCACAGACCCCACAGAGAAAACTCCAGACCACGGAGGTCAGCGTTTTCCATGTCTTCACTGAGGGGCATGTGTCCAGCACTGTTGTTAAGCTGCCACCTGGGATGCCCACAGCCCAGATTTGAATCCTGGCTCTATTTCCAAATCCAGCTTCCTGCTGATGTGTACCTGGGAGGCATCAGGTGACAGCCCCAATAGCTGGGCCCGGGTTATCCATGTGGGAGAGAGAGCGAGCCAGACTGGCACGTTCCTGGTTTTGGCCTGGTTCAGCCCTCACTATTGTGGGCATCTGAGGAGGGAATCAATGGATGGAAAAACCTTTCTGCCTTTCAGATAAAGAAAAGATCAAGAACTATAAACTCTGCCACTGACAGCTAGAAAACTGGGGCCCAGAGAGGAGAAATAACCCCGAGGAGCAGAAGGGCCTAACACTCAGCCTGCCCGCCTCGTGTCTTTGTTTCTCTCAGAAACCCACAGCATCTCCCAAAGGCTCAAGGAAAATACATCCTGCGAAAAACCCACATGCATTCCCAAACTTTATGCAGCAAAAGAAGCTTATTTTGCAAACTCCATCTTTCTATTAACTTAAAAGAAACCCTGATAGGGGTTTGATCTCTGGTCCTGGTTCCTGGCACCCAGGACCCCTCAGGCTGTGCAGACAGAGTATTGGGGTTGGGGTTCCCTCCAGGGCCCCAGGATGAGGCCAGGTCACCAGAAAGGCCACACTGTGATCAGGACGAGGATGTGGGACTCCTGGTGTGGGCCGGGCAGGGCGGAAGCTGAGCTGCTCACCAGTGGCCACCACTGTCATCCACCACTCTCATCCATCACTCCCCCAAAGACCCCAAGAGGGTGAGCCTGGAAGCCCTTTGCTCCTTTTACACACTCAAAAGAACTTCAAAGTGTTGATGAGAAAAATAGAATTAAAGGACCAGATTATATGGTGCTGAAAAAAATGTGTAAGATCCCCATTTTTTTGGTAATACAGGTTTCATTGAACATATATTTAATAATTTTATTTGAAAGGCAGAGACAGAGAGCTCCTATCACTGGATCACTCCCCAAATGCCTACAATGACAGGGCTGGGTCAGGTGGAGGCCAAGAGACTCCCTTTCCGGATCGTGCAGGTCGGTGCAAGGATCAAGTACACAGGCCATCATCTGCTTCCCAGGTACGCATGCGTGGATGATTGAGGACACCTGGTCCTGTGTCCTGGGCCTCTACACAACCTGTCATTCATCTGTGTCCTCTGTCACAGCTTTGCAGTGAATGGGCAAATATTGCAGGACTGTTCCTACATGCTGCAACAGCGAATGAATCAAACATGAGAAAGGAGACTTGGCCTGCTTACAGCTGCCCAATCAGAGACAGGTGCAACCAGGTGGGACTGGCAAGTGGCACACGAAGTATGGAAGTCTTGGGGGTACTGCGCCCTTAACCTGGGGCTCTTATGCTACTCCCAGGCGGGTGGTGTCCCAACGGGATTGCACAAGGTGTCCAATGCAGACTCACTCGCTGGGAGCGAAGGGGTCAGAGTTGGGGGTGGGGGCAGAAACCCACACACGCTTCACCCCAGAGGTGCAATCAAGTGTGCCACATTTGAGAGGAGTACATGCTTGCCTTCTGCATCCCTCTAACACCTTCTTCAAGAGACAGCTGCTCTGGGGAGACCCAGATGGCACTCCTGGCTCCTGTTTCCAGGCTTTAGCTGGTCCGTCCCTGGCGGCTGTGGGCATCTGGGGAGTGAGCCAGCAATGTGAGCTCACTCTGTCTTTCCTCATCTCTGTCTTTTACTTCAACTCTGCCTTACAAATAAAATAAAATGAAATAAAAATAAAGTGAAGTGAGTTGAAGTAAAATAGAATAAAGTAAAATTAAATTAAATTTAAAAAGCAGTGGCTCTTTCCCAGGGCCAGACTCCATCCCTCGAGGTGAGTCCTAACTGGAAGCTGCAAAGGACAGCACAGAGAGTTCCTATGATATGCATTTGAGTTTATCACCATCCTGACACATGCCTTGGGTTTTGAAAGCACCTTTTCCTTGTTACTGATGGCCTGTGTCTGCCAGAGAATCTGGGAACCCTGGGCTGCTCCGCATGCTCAATGTGGTCATAGGTGCCTAGCATGGGCCCCAGGAAGTGCAAGAGGCAGAGTGCAGGTTCCAAGTAGAAGCTGGAGCTTATGTGCCACGTGTCTGGAGAAGCCACATCCCTGGGGCTTCAGCTACTTCTCCCGCTTGGTGTTGGAGGAAGACGGACCAGAGGGCGCAGGCCTGCGGCACAGCTATTAGCGGCTGCTTGGGATCTGCACATCCCACACTGCAGTGCTTGGGTTTGAATCCCAGTCGTGCTTCCTGATAACTCTCCCTTTCAGAGGCAAGGGAACCGAGCCCCCGAGCCCCCGTCACCCATGTGGGACATCTGGCAGAGCTCTTGGCTCCTAGCTCAGCCCTGGCTGGGAGGACATCTGCAGAAGGAACCACTGGGGTTACAATGTTTCTCTCTGCCTTACAGAAAATGACAAGCATAGGTCATGGTAGAAAAAATAGCCATGAGTGGGCACAGCCATGCTCCGAGAAAAGGGGGCACAGCCATGCTTCGAGAAAAGGGGGTACAGCCATGCTCCGAGAAAACTTGAAGACAGGGCATGGATGGATTTGTCTCCAGGTGCAGCTAGGGAGCCCTTGCTTAGGAGTCTGCAAAAGGAGTATGCTCAGATTCAATACAACTCAGGTTCTAAAAAAAATGTTTTATTTTGATTCATTTGGAAGAACAACAGAGAGAAAATGAATGAATATATTCTATCTGCTAGTTTACTCACCAAAAGCCCACAACTGGGGTGGGGCCACCAGGCTGAAGCCAGGAGCCAAGAGTTCCACCCAAGCCTTGTACATGGACGGCAAGGAGCCAAGCACTCAGGCCTCTGGGGGTGCGCATTAGCAGGAAGCTGGATTTGAAGCTGGTTGCCAGGATGATTCCCAGCACTCCAACACGGGACGCAGGTGTCCCAAGCACCAGTTTAGCTCCCTAGGCCAGGAGAACAGACTTCGTCTCAGCTACTCCAAGGCTTCCCAGAGGTAAGGTTAGAGCACCCTGGGGCCAATTAGTCAAATCCCCACCGCCTCCCTGAATAAACCAGGCAGCCAGATACATTAGTCGATAATAGCTCCATTCTGGAACTCCTTCCAAGTGTGCCCATAACTGTCATTCTCACCCTGCTTTCCATTAGCGGTTTATCCTGTTAATGAAAACCTCCCTCATTGAGACTCCTCTGGTTGCTGTTACCTAAGTGAGAAGCCCAGATTCCACTTTCTGAATTTGCTCTTGCAGACAAAGGCATGGCTGGGTTTAGACTGAAAAGCAGATGGAGCGGGGGGGAGTGGTGAGTCCAGATCCCAGGTGGTCAATCCAAGAAAAAAAAAAAAACCTGACCACGTTGGTTTCGCCAAACTATATGATAGAATCAGCAAACTTTCTGCAAGGGGCCATGTAGGAAACCTTTCGGAACTTGTGGGCCATGTACTCTGTTACAGCTTAGCTCTGCTAGCAAGGTGCACCTGCAGGCATGAAGGGGGATGGCTGTGTGCAATAATGACATTTCATCAACAAAAACAGGCAGGAAGCCAGAGGAAGCAGTCACCCTAGTGTATCTACCCTGTCCCAAAAAGTGGTTCGTTAACTGAACTTGGAAGCCCTCACTCTAGTGGGACTCTCGTATTTATTATCCAGGCCCATCTGCACAGAGACGGAAGTGCGACCCCCAAGTTTGACATGAGGGTTATGTCAAGGTGCCACAAATTCTGAGCAGCCAAGGGGATGCTGAAAGCAAGCATTTTCACTGGATGAATCATGTGCAATGTTAGATGCCCTTGACCCACGTTCCCTCAAGTTCAGGCATCTGGAATGGCTGCCCATCATCTCTGTACATTGTCCTGAGGGCCAGCTTGGTGACACTGGATAAGCCACCCCACACAGTTAAGGCACTGCTTCTTTGTGGACCTAGGGGGTATCATATGTTCTTCTCAAAGGGTTGTCATTGGACACACTACCAGGAGGTTGGACATGCCCAGTAGACAGCAGGCCTAGGGACGCTGCACTGGCCAGGGCCACTTACACCGAGGATATGCAGCAAGACAGCTCCATGCTGCCGCTCCTTGTTGGAGAACAGGTCCGAGGGGAACTCGTGGATGGCTGGAAGACAAGGGAGACAGCAGTGTCAGTCATCAGGGGACTATGACAAGCCTCACAGGAGGTCTAGAGGACCCCCAAAGAACTGCCAAGCCCACCTAGCAGCAGAGTGACCAGGATAGGCCTACGCAGATGGGTGCCCAGAGATTCTGAAACGGGACATGGGTACCCCTACTGGAGTCTCAAGTACCAAGCTAAACAGGGGTTTAGCCAATCCTGGGGATTCTTTGCAAGCTAAAGCCCTGTTGTCTCTTTGCTGCAAAGAACTTGGCTCCTGGCCTCCTAAGGCAGAGTACGTGGGTTACAAATGGTTTTGTCCTTGGGACAAGCAGACCTCTGCCCGCTCAGCCTCAGGACCTTACTCCGCACCCCCATGTGTATGCCGGAGAACTTCAGCAGAGCCCAGATGCCACCCCTAATGCCAGCTTTGCCAGCAATTACTATGAGAACCAGCAGCACTCCTAGTTGCTTGTGACCTGCTGTTCTCTGTGCCCGCTCAGTCTCTTGGGCACACCCTGAACCTATGAGGCAGGCACTGTGGCCAGGCGTGTATCTGGATGGGGCAGAGGGACTGACTCAAGGAACCCCGACAGAGAGGGCAGGCCTGGCCAATGCAGTTGCATTGTGGACTGGGGACCTGAGTGTGAGTGACCCTATGGGAGTCCTTTAACCTCTCTGGCCACCTGACCATCAGTGGCAATCTGCAGCAAAAATACAAGGGGGAAGAAATGGTTGTCCTTACTGTGTGTGGCATGCCTGGCATGACCACCCCAGGTCAGAAGCAAGCAGGCAGACACCCCTCCTTCCTAGAGATTTAGCAACTGACAGCTGGGAAGGTCCAGTCTTCAGTTTAACAGGAGCATCCTCTAGAAACTGGTGTGGGACAGGGTCCCAGATGAAGCAACAAACTCAGCAGGGACTCTGCCGATGCCACATCCCAGCAGCAACTCTGAAGGGAGACCTCACAAGACCCCAGGGCCTTGGATTCAGAGTTCAGCAAATGCCTCTGCTCCTCCTGACTTATCTGACCTTGGCAACTAGCTTAACACCTCCAGGGCTATGTGTATCCGGGTCACAACACACCTAGTGGTCACACCACGCTGAGCCAGATTGCTGGGTCATTCTGAGCACTGTTAATTCACAGGAGTGACTGTCCCCTTAGTCTGGAGACATGCAGGCTTGCTTTATGAGCCAGAAGTTCCATGAGGAAGACAAAGTAATACATCAATATCTGGGTACTGGAGCATTTTCCTCTCATGCACCTACTGGGATCAGGAACTCCTGGGTCATGTTCAAGGGCATGATGCCTGCATGTTTGCAAGGGCCCAAGCCTGCCTGAGTGCTCAATCTTTGCTGGGGTGGAGGGAGTGTGCAGCAGAGCTCGCTATGGGTTTTGAGGTCACACCTAAGCCTTTAAGCTGCAGAAATGCAGGGCTGTGGGAGCAGAGAGCGCTGGATCTGCAGGTGGAGCTGGGTGCAGGATGATTCCAGCACCCACTGGACCCCAGGAGGGGGGAATGCAGAGCACAGGGGACAAGGCAGCTGCTCCCCTCTCCTGGTAAGAGAGAGTCTTGTGTTGGGAGTGTGGTGCTAAGGAAGGGATTCTGTTTCACATTCAGACCTAGATCTAACCCTGTCTTTACATCCCAGGTATCTGCTCTCCTGTGTTGGGGACCCAGGACACTGGGGGAGCTCTTCCCAGCACCCTACACACCTCTGCACCAAGGTGCTTGTCCATGTTCCTATGAAGGCTGCATGGGGGTTACTGGGACTTAGAACTGCCAGCCTCACTGTTGGTTCATGTGGCATGCTGGGGAAAGAGCTTCAGCCTGGGCCAGCCTTGGCCATTGTGGCCATTGTGGCCTCCCGGCTGCAGGATGGTCCCCACTGGGCAGGCAGCTGTCAGCGGTGGAGATGCACTTGCTGGGAGATGTGTATCAACTTTAAACCTTCCTGGTAGCTGACTGTCTTTAGGGAACATTAACTGGGAGTCAAATTATTTTCAGAAGGCAAAGTAGACAAACAACAACAACAACAAAAGGGAGCCTCAAAGCACTCAGTTCCCTTTGCTTTCTCTTCCAGTTAAAAATAACCACATTCTCAGCTCTGACGTTGATGCTGAAACTATGTGAACCAGGCTGGAAGTCAACTAAATGGCTTCGATTTTCCATCACTTCAACTTACGTAAGGTATGTGTTTTAGCAACCAGAAGCCAAAAGCACAGAATTGTGAGCCCTTCCCCCACCCTCACCCCCCAAGGCGGGGGTTTAAAATAACTTGGTCAGGGAGCCAATGCCTTTCGTGGGCAACAATGGGGACGTTGACTTGATCCCATCACCCTGTGCCCCAGTTGGGAGTTAACAGAAGCGATGGGCTCCTGGCTTCACCAGGATGAAGTGCTTTCTCACCACAGCACATTCCACAAGCAATGGAGTTCATGAAATGCGTGTTATAAAAAAAAAACATGCACAGATTTCAAAATGTTTTGCAGCACAATAAACTTTTCTCATTCCAACTCTCTGTGGTCTCTAGAGGGGCTCTTGTATGCTTAACACAACGCAGTATTTATAGCAGCTGGAGGAATTCTCACTCTGCTACGGCCTCCTCTTGCAATGCTTTCTGAGAAGACCCTGTCACTCTTAGAATGAAGAATGTTTAAGTTTGATTATTATGATTTACCAAAAAAGTGACATGTTGTGGCATGAGATTAGAGCTCTACCGCAAGGTGGCATCGAATAGAATTTTCCCATGCCACCCTGGCTCCCTAATGAAGCACAAGCCTAGGTGCTACTGTGAAGATTTTTCACAGACACTAACACCTCCAACCACTGACTACGTCACGGAGAAGGCCCACCGCAGTGCAGGTATGGATTCTGTGCCACTCCTGTCACTCAGAGGCCTTGAAAACAAAAAACTAAGGCCTGTTGGGGGCGGGGGGAGCCTCAATGTTGCAGCATAAGCTCTCGCCCCACAGTTCCACCTGCGGGCCTGCCCTGTCTAGGACAGACTGGCCACAATCACACAGCCGTGCATAAATATGGGGACATATGCACGTGCGTGCCAGGCCTGTGCCACCTTCTATTGCTTCTGTTTTTCTGGGAAACACTGGGTGCAAGCAAATCCGAGGTGGCAGGTCCAAGGGGGCAGAGCCACACTTGATCCCAGGTGAGCCAGAACCAGGAGGCCAGCTAACAGTTTCTTCAAAAGGCATGTGGAGAAATGAATTTACGCTTGGTGCAAAATATATATATATATATTTTAAATGCAGAATTGTTTTTTCACAATACACATTTTCCATGAAGTTTTGGGAAACCCCTGGTGGAGAGTTCGGGGAGACACCTGACAGGCTGCTGGTGCCACCTGGAGCCACTTGCTGGGCCAGCATGCCCCATGTTAGCATTTCTAGCTCCTACTCTGCATCCCACCATGGCTGCCCAGGTCTCCCTGTCTGGCTACCAGTCTTTGCTACCAGCATAATTCTGTGTCTCCCTTGAGCAAATCTATTCTCATGACTGGGTCCCTCAAGGCAGAAGTCTAGACTCAGACCTTGGGCCAAACCAGAGTGGAATGCATGGTCTCTACTGGAGAGTTGGGAAGGATAGCGCCCCTAGGCCTTCCTGGAACGAACAGGACAGCTTCTCCTGGGGAGAGTTTCTTGCAAGAAGGGTCTAGGGCAGACCCCTGTGGGTGCCAGATGTACAAATACAGCTTCCTTATAATTACGTCCAAGTGTACTGAGACCACTCCACCACAAACAGGATGCAGCAGAAAAAAAAAAAAAGGACCTCAACAGGCTTAATGCACTTCTAGGTGCATCTCACAGTAGCAGGTGCTTAGCCAAACATCTGCAGGATGAGTGACAGTGGCAATTCAGACGAGTAACTTGCTTTTCCCAAAACCTCAGGAGACCAAAAACACCTGCCTACTTCCTTCCAGCTTTGGCACTAATGCGCATCCTCAGCTCAATGTCAAAAGCTTTCCCCACAGAGAGTCACCAGGGTCTGGATTTTGTTCTCAGCTTTCCTGGGCAAGCTGGTGGAAAATGGCTTAGCTCCTCAGCTCCTATGAAAGCACTGTGAGGTCTGGGGTTGGGGGTGGGTGTTCTTGACTTGCTCTACATGGGAGGCACCTGCTCTCGAAGCGGCCGCGGGGCGGGGCAGAGCAGGTACACCTCCACACACCTGCCCTACGAGAGGGAAACTTCCCACAGCGAGGGACAAGTCTAAGTAGCTCTTTCCTCATCCTGACCTTACCTGACCAGGAGAATCTCCTTTACTCCATTTTGCATATGGGAAAACAGAGGCTTCCAGAGGCCAGAGGCTTGCCTGTGGCCACCCAGGTCAGGAGCAGGACAGTCAGACTCACCAACCAGTCAAGGGGCCCAGGTCTAAACTGTGGGTCCCGTCCTCGCTTGGCCTACCCCTCAGGGCTCTTGTCTCAGAAAATCAGCCTGCCTAGGGAGGATCCCAACATGTCATCAGCTGGCAGGCTGGCAGAGGCAGGACAGAGCCAACTGTGGCTCCAACACACAGGCACTGCTGCCAGCTATTCTGGGATAAGCAAGTTGGTAATGAAGTGAACCACTTCCTTCAACAAATGGGCCCAGAGACTCAATTCAAGCACAACAAATACAATAATAGATCTTAATCCCAGGCCGATTTAATCACCTCCTGTTTCTTTTTCCATCCTGACTCACTTCCCCCTTGTGGATGTAAACACACACACACACACCCCTGCTGCTACAAATACACAGGCACCATCACCCAGGACAATTCCACACCTCCAATAGTTGGAAATCATTTCTTGCTGAATATACACCTAGATACACCTCTGCCCCCTCAAGTGTATACACAAGGGGACTTCAGAAAAATTATGGAAAATGGAACAGAAAAGCTGGTACTTGGGCACACAACGAACCAGGATCCATGGCATCTTCCAGGACTCTCTGAAGACCCCTAGTGTGTGTGGACCCCCAGGCCTCAGCAGTGGGAGGTCTGGGGATA